GAGCCCCGTGCCCGGTAGGATGCCATACTGGACCCAGAAGCAGGGGCGGCCCCACGTGCCCCTGGTAGCCAGGCGTGCCTGGAGAGGGGCTAGCACAGAGAAGAGGAGGGAAAGGCAGGTCTGGGGTGTGGTCTGTGTTTTCTTAACTTTGCTTCTGTCTTGCTTCCCTGCCCCTGCCCCCCGCCCTGGCTTCCGCCCGTCTCTGCCCGCTGCTGTCTCTCCCTGGGTTTCTGGTGGTGGAAAAGCTCGAGTCCTGGCGAAGCTAGCGGCCGGCCTCTGTGCGAAGCGTACTGGGGGCTGGACCTCGACACAGACTCCGCTGATGGCCGCTCGGCCCCCGTGCTGGCGTCCCCGGAGCCCAGCGCTGGCCCCCTGCAGGCTGCGGCCCCTGCCCACTCCCATGCCAGCGGCCCTGGCCCCACAGAGCACGCCTGAGCCTCCCAGTGCTCCCCTCCCTGCACCCCTAGGTTCTGAGGAGGTGTGGTGTCCCCTCCGGGCTCGCCACAACTTTGCTTCTTTTAGCCTTGCTTCCCATTGGGCAGCTGCGGTGGGCTCCTTGGGAGCTTTGGCCCAGGGCCTGCCACCCCCCCACCCCCTGCCAGGAGCGTTGGCGGGGGGGCGGGTAGTTCCCCCAGCCGTTTCCAAGGTGGCCCACCTCCCGAGTGGTCACCTCTGTTCATGACCCTCCTGGCCTGCTGGGCAGAAGGTTCCTGGACAGTCCTGTTGGCCCCAGGAGTGGGCCAGGAGGATGTGCAGCTACTTAAAAGCTGTAGGGTGGTGCTCAGAGTGAACCACACTGGCCAAGTCCAGACTCTCCCTCCCAGGGCAGGCCTCCTGTGCAGAGCCACACCCACTGCCTTGTCCTCAGGGTCCCTACACTAGCTGACTGTCCCCAAGGGCTGTGGCGGCAGGGAGAGAGATCTGCCTGCCGCTTTTGTGGAAGCAAGGACTGGGACCTTCCTAATTTCTGCCACATGTGTTTTCATCGTTTTGTAATAACAGTTGAATAAAAACAGCTCTGCCCCTTTGCATCGGTTGGCACTCTCTTGTGAGGCCTGGCCCACCCTGGGGCCACCGTTGGCTTCCCACCGGCTGCTGGGAGAGCGGCTCTGGGCTCTGACTGCACAGCCTTGGGCCTTGGGCAGGGATGTGGTCAGTGTGGGACCGTCACTGCATTGCCATTGCCTAGAACTGCCAGAGACCCGGAAGGTCCTTAATATTTGGTGATTGAAAAGCCACTGCCATTCCTGCACGTTACAAAGTCCAGGTGCCTGTGTCTCTGGGCCCTGCTGTCCTCATCGCACCTGGAGTCAGTGCTGTGGTGCCCTGCGCTACTGGGTGGAGCAGGGGAGTTCAGAAGGGGCTGAAGCGTTGTGTCTGCAGTCACGGAGCTGGGAATGAAGCGGCAGAAATCAGGACTCAACCCACAGGGAGTGCTGGGCCCAGTGCCTCGCACAAGGCTCAATGCTGGGGAATCACACCAGAACCGGGACTTCAACCCTGTGCCATCACCAGCAGGCCTTACCTCCTCATGAAGGAGACATCAGCTGGTATGTGGGGAGGTGACAGCCCACAAGTGTCTCAAGGAAGGGGGACACACACAAGCTGAATTATGCTGGGTCCCGGAGACACCTCACCCCACCCCCCACCCCCCACAGCCAAGCAGAGGCACCGTGCAGGTTGGAGCATGGGCCTGGGGCCCAGCCCTGGCTCTGGTCCTGGTTTTCTGGGGTGCCCTGGGGAAGTTGTTTTCCCATTGAGAAAGTAGGTAATGATCTCCTCCTCCCAAAGCACCTTCCTTGCAGAAAGAACTTTTATTTAACACTGACAAAGGACAAAGGGATTACAGCCAATGAAGCCCATGTGGGGAAAGGCCTGGAAGGAGTGGACCAAACCTGATGCTGGGCTTTCGAGTCTTCCAATTTCCAAACACCCGAGCAGCGGGATCTCTGCACCACCATGTGACGCTCTCCTGGGCTCGGGCCGCTGTTCCCGTTGGAAAATGAAGTGGTCTCCCCCCTCCTAAAGCGAGGCAGCTCTCCACTGCCACCTCTTCCGCTCCAGCCCACGGCCCTGGCAGCAGAACACACTGGACCAACGGGCTATTTGAGCTCCCCTGGAGCCTGCTTCCAGCAGGTTTTGTCTCCGTGACCTGGGCCAAGCTCCATGTGTTAGGGTCCGCAGTGGCCTCCACGTCGCTAAAGTACTAGGTGGTCCTCAGTCGTAGCACCTGTGTCCCACGAGTCTTACCCTGAGACCGTTCAAAGCCCTGGTGAGGGTGTAAAGGTCGCGTAAAGAACACCCACACGGATGCTTTTCTGGACTCACCTTCTGCACCTTCACTTGCGCTCTCGTTTATAAACCCCACGAAGGGCAGCTGCAGGCCTCATGACCCCGCCCCTCGGAACATGGGCCCGCTCGCCTCTCTAAGAAAACCGACACTCTCTGGGGCCCAAGGCCAGCGTTGGGCCCAACCGACAGAATGATTGTTCATTCCACAATGTCATCTGGGATCGTGACACATACTGACTTCCCCGGTTGTTCTCCAAATGTCTTTTTATACTCGTCTTTATTGTGCTTGCATTTGCTTTACTGTTTCTTCTAGTCTTGAAATCCAGAACAGGGTCAGGGTGGTGGTCTGGAGTGCATCAAGTACAGTTCTGGATATGCTATTTATTTACTGAAAAAAGATCTATCATGGCACCTGCGTGGCTCAGTTGGTTAAGCCTCTGCCTTCTGCTCAGATCATGATTCCAGGGTCCTGGGATTGAGCCCCACATTGGGCTCCCTGCTCAGCAGAGAGCCTGTTTCTCTCTCTCTGCCTGCTGCTCTCCTTACTTGTGCTCTCTCTGTCAAATAAATAAATAAACTCTTAAAAAGTAAATAAATAAGATCTATCCATTTTAGAGTGTGCACGAACGGGGGGGCGGGCAGAGAGACAAAGAGTTGGGGCCAGAAGGAAACAGACACCAATACCTGCCGGGCCTACTGACCCCACCCCCCACCCCCCACCCCCGGGGTATTTTTTTAAAGATTTTGTTTATTTGACACAGACACAGTGAGAGAGGGAACACAAGCAGGGGGAGTGGGAGAGGGAGAAGCAGGCTTCCCACCAAGCAGGGAGCCCGATGCGGAGCTCAATCCCAGGACCCCAGGATCAAGTGGAAGGAAGCCACTTAACAACTGAGCCACCCAGGCGCCCCCGGGGTATACTTTTTAAGGGAGAGCCAAAAGATTTGCTCAAGGCCTGGATGTGGGGAATGAGGGGAGGCAGGGTGGCTTCAAGGCCTGACGCTTGGAGTGGCCGGAGTGGCCGAAACTGAGAGAAGGCAATGGGGGAGGCTGGGTTCTGTACATACCTATGGAGATGTGTCTGGAGTTCGGGGGAGTCATTAGTACCAAGTCAGGAGCCCTGAGGAGGGTCACTGTGCAATAAGAGTTGACAGAAAAGGGAAGCGAGGCCCAGGGAGGAGGGAGCAGGTGGGTAGGAGGAAGGCCTGTCATCTGGGGTTCCCAAACTCCTGGGAGGACAGGATTTCAGGGAAGAGGTAGATCAGCTGGTTAGACCCTCTAGACAACCCTCACAGAAAAGGTAACTGAAAAGTAAGGCCCATCAGTCTAGATTTGCACGCAGAACCCAACTTTCTTCTCCCCGCCCTGTGGCAACTCCACTGCATCCATCACTCCCTGTCCAGGGAAGACCTCAGGAGAGCGTCCAAGACCTCCTGGGAGATGGTGACGGAGAGGAGAGAAGCCCAGACTTACTGCGGGGACCAGAAGTCCCACTGAAAGAGCAGCCATCACCACCCCGCCCGCCCCTATCCCCGTCCCTCAGCGCGTCTGGCTTTGATGGTTAAAACTGACAGTGCCAGAAAGAAGGTGCAGGCGGCTCAGTGAGTGCCGTCCACACATCAGACTGTGTCCACCGAAAATCCGTGCGGGAAGAGGACGAAGCCATCCTCTCCTCAAAACGGCACCCCATGACCGATGAGCGGCAGAAAGTTAAATCTTTACTGCTTCAAACGTACTTATCAGGAGCCTTTTCAAACGGCTTTTGAGGTGGTGATTTATAAATCTAAGCCCCAGGTCCCGCTTCCCCTGCGGAACATCGCAAGGCCCCCTTCCCTGCTCACACCCAGGCAACCCTCCGAGGGCCCCCGTTGTGTCACAGCCTGTCACTGCCATGAATTAGGGAACCAGGCGCAGGGGTCTCCAGGCTCAGGATGGTGAACGTTCCTCTCCCTCCCCTCCTGAGTTTTTACTTATTTACGTATTTTAGACCGAGACCGCGCGGCAGAGGGAGAGGGCGAAGCAGACTCCCCGCTGAGCAGGGAGCCCCACGGGGGGCAGGATCCCAGGACCCCGGGTCATGAGCGGAGCTGAAGGCAGCCGCTCGCCCGACTGAGCCCCCAGGCGACCCCCCACCCCGTGAGTTCTTAAGTCTCAGCTCTGTTCAGAGCGACATCCCGGTGGGTCTTCCCTGAGCGCCCCAGCATCCTCCCTCCCGGCCTTTCTTCTGCACTCCCCGCCCCCGACTCGCTGTGCTCGTGCTGCGTTCTGCCCGGCGCGCCCGGGACGCAAACTCGCCGAGGACACCGCGCCCCGCACAGGGCGTCGGAGGGCCCGCCCTGTCCCAGCACCGTCAGTTTTAACCGTCAAACCCAGACGCGCTGAGGGACGGGGATGTGGGGCGGGGGGTGGTGCTCTCGCCAGCTTCCGCTTGGGATTCGAGTCCCCAGAGGCCTGGACCACGGCCGGTCGGGCCTGTCGCCCCCCGCCCCGGTGCCGAGCGCCTACAGTGTCCGCGGCGCGGTGCTGCGGCCGGGGTGCAGAGGCGGGAGCACCGGCTCCCTCCCGGGGCTCGCCCAGGGCCCACAGAGCTTTGCGCCCCGCCCCGTGCCCCTCTTCCGGCGGGGCCAGGCCTGGCTAATCGAGCACCGCGCGCCGGCGGCTCGGCGCTCGGCCGGCGGCGCCTGCGCAACCCGCGGTTTCCGGCGTGGGTGGCGCGGCGGGAGCCGCTCTGCGGGGAGTCGCGAGGTGTCTGGGAAGCGCGCGTGCCGCCCGAGGAGGCCGCGGAGCGCGCGGCCATGGCTTCTCTGCTGGCCAAGGACGCCTACCTGCAGGGTCTGGCCAGGAAGATCTGCCGCCAGCCCAGCCCGGAGCCGCAGAAGCGCACGTCCGGTAACGCGCCGCCGGGGGTCGGGCCTGGGAGGGCTCGGGGCGGGGGGTGCCCCGCACGCTACCCCGTAGCCTTGCGTTGGGTTAGACGTGTAGGTGCGGGGACAAGCCCGTAAGGTTCTGGGAAGGCAGACGAGGGGTGTCTCAAGTTGCCGCTGTCTCCCCGCTTGTCGTGGGCGTCGGCCTGGGGGTTCCGGGGGACCCCGCTCCGTCTGCTCCCCGGCGGGCAGCTCCTGCGGGGCTTGGAGGAGGTGCCCGGTAGAGTGGGCAGCGTAGGGAGGTCAGGAGGGAACCGGGATGCCTCCGGGCGGCGTGGCGGGGAACTGCTCGTCAGGCAGGTGAAGCAGGCTGGCCGGCCGGGGGTGCTGCCCGGGCCGGGTGGAGGCGAGTGGCGGGGGCTGGCAGGGAGCTAGAGAAAAAACGACTTTGTCCTCATGCAAAGCAAGCGTGTGTTCCGTACACAAGGGGAACAGTTGAGTTCCGGCGCTCCGGGAGGCTCAGTCGGTTAAGCACCTGCCCCTGGCTCAGGTCATGATCTCGGTCCTGGGAGCCAGTCCCGCACCCGGCTCCCAGCTTAGCCGCGAGCCTGCTTCTCCTTCCAAATCTCCCCCCTTGCTCATGCGCGCTCACTCACTTCCTCAAGTAAATAAGTGAAATCCAAAAAACAAAAAAAGTAAAAGGGCGGAAAAGGTAATTTTTTAAAAATTGAGTTTTTCTTTTTAGCAGCTGGGTATAGTTTAGGTTTATGTTGTTTTAGGTTTTTTTAATGAGTGCTGTTTACGCATTAGGACACTCCCCTTTGTGTAGTCGCTTTCTCTGTGTCCGTGGGAACCTTACTTGATGTTAAAATGAAACCTGCGTCATCATTTTTGATGGCGGCACAGCACATCGTCACGCATCCGCTCCTCAGCTCGCTCTCGTAGGTACATGGTATTTGGGTTTCCCCAGTTTCTCCCTCAGACAGCATCGTGATGATGTTCCGAGGCCGTCTTTGTGCGTATCCAGATGGATTCTCACAAGCTGGGACAAGTGTGGACGTTTTTCAGGGATGGGCATGTGTGGCCGGTTTGCTTTCCAGGGTTGGTGGGTCTGAGCTCTGCAGATAAGGGTGGGTCCTCCTGCCTGATTCTCTGTCAGCCTTTTTTGGGGTCAGAGGTTTTGCAAGACCTTTCCTGCGGGTTGAATGAGTCACGAAGGTTCAGACTGCAGTGCTGTTTAACTCTGTGTTTCAGCCGGCAGAACTCGAGGCTCAGAAGCTGCTGGGCCCCCAAAAAAGAAGAGGAGGAAAGCACAGAAGAAATCACGGGAGCGGGAGAAGGCTGTGGAGCTGAAGACCCAGGCTCTGGGGGGAGAATCTCCAGCACCTTCCGGGGCCAGAAAGCCAGCAGTATGTGAGGAGGGAGAGGCCTTCCCCTCCATGCGGTCCCCAGCACATGGGGATGTGGAGCAGGGCCAGCTGACACCAGGTGAAAATGTGGTCCTCGATGACCCTAAGAAAACGTGGTGCTAGGCACACTGGAGTAGCTTGAGACTTTCTAGAGAGAGAGCTCTCAGGGGACAGACTCCAGGGGCTCTGTGGGTGCACGAGATCCCCAGAAGTACGTAGTGGTTCTTGGCCGTTTGGCAGCTGGGTCTGGTGAGGGGCAAGGTCACGTCCCACGAGGACCTGGAGCGGCTTGCCCTGCAGAACCTCACGGCCTGCAGGTGTGTGAAGGGGAGTCACGGGAGCCGACCTGTGAAGAGACGCAGGGAAGCCCAGGCTGCAGAGGTTGGAAGAAATGAGAGATGGCTTTGGCTTGACCTGTAGGAAGTGTTTTGTCGTGCCACACAAGGGTGTCCTGTCCTGGAGGACGTCCTGGGGCCAGTCCAGCCTGAGGAGGTGGAATAGAGTTTCCTGGACTGCCCTGCAGGTGGATGGGCTCTGGCGGTTTGGGGGGGCGGGGAGGGCGGGTTGTGGTGGGCGGCATGTGGAGACTCAGTCTTTGAAGCTGGGCCGTGGGAGAATGGACGGGATGGTCAGGGAGGGGTTTTTTCTCAGTTCTCTGCCTCTTTCCTTGCAGAAACCCTGGTCACAGAGCCCGACTCTCTGTTTGCCCTGGATGTCGTGCGGCAGCAGCTACATGAGAAAATCCGGGAGGCTCGGGGCCAGGTGAGCAGGGAGGCCGCTGGGGTGCAGGGAGCAGTGTTTACCGCGCTGGTTTCCTTGCTCTGCCTGGAGGAGAAGGCGCCTTGGTGCTCTTTGTGGGGTTGTCCCTCCAGCTCTGCCAGCCATTGTGGGGCTATGGGAGGGACCTCAGCTGCTCTTCCCACCCTTGCAGCGGGTCTTGCCAGGGTCTTGGCACTTTGTTAGGCAAGAGATCAGCTGTGGTTTGCATCATCTCAGGGAGCTTCTGTTCCAGGGCCACCCGCCTTGTACGGTCTCTGCCGGGCTACAGATTCCTTGTGCTCTCGGGGGGAGGCCCAACCTCTTCTCTCAGGGAAGCTGCCTTTGCTGAGCCCCAGGCAGCGCTTCCATCCCCGCAGCGCCACGACAGCCCTGTGAGGTAGGCGAGGGCCCAAGCTGAGGTGACCTCGACAGGGAGCGTCAGACCTGCACCAGCTTGGCCTCTCTCTGCTCGCATTGTTGTCTTCTCACTCAGCCTCCAGCTGCCCTTTCCTGGGGACATGCCCTGGACCTCTTGCTGTGTGCGGATGGTCCCCGAGCTTCTTTGTGCAGCTGTCCTGGGACGAGCCCAGGGATCGTTCTAAGGAGTGGTCCAAGCGCCAGGCCCGGCCCCACATGCGGGTCTGCATCAGGCTCATGTAGGGTTCCCTTGTCGGCCTGCAGAGGAAAAGTTCCTTGGTGAGAGCCCAGAGGTCAGATATGCCACTAGCAGAATGGTGCCGCGGTCAGCACGGCACTGAGTCATTCTGACCTGATGCCACTTTTGAGTTGGTGGGTTTGGCTAAGCCTGTCCTCGTCTATGAAATGCTGCAGGACGTGTTTCCTGTGGGACCGTGAGGAAGAGACAATAACCGTGTTTGGAAAGTGCCCTGGTATGATGTGCCTGGGGACGGGAACCCGTACTTCTTACTCAGGGGTCTTAGTGTCCTCTTGGGGGTCCCTCACGTTCTGAGTGATGGATAATTTCACAGGGCACACTGAAGTCAGTGGGGACCTTGTCCTGTGCAGCCGTCTCCTCGCTTGCTTTCCTGCTCTGTGTCCACGCCTCGGACCAGGGCCCCCCAAATTGGGAGGACCTCCCATGTGAATTTCGCTTTCCTCTTCCAGGGCCAAACCGTGGAGCTGTCTCTCGCTGCTTTGGAGAAGAGACGGCGGAGAAAGCAGGAGCGGGGCCGGAAGAAGAGGAAGCGAAAGGAGTTGAGAGCAAAGGAGAAGGCGGCGGAGGCGGCGGATCTGCCCCGTGCGCTACCCCAAGAACCGCTGCGAGAGGACGTACCAGCGGGGCTGCTCTTCAATAAGGTGAGGCCGGACGCAGCCATGGCACGGGGGCACCTAGGCTCTGCCCGTGCCTGGTTGTGGGCTTCTGGCCTCAGCTGCCCGTCTGCAAAATGGGGTCATACTGCAGAGCGTGACCAGTCCCTGCCCACGGGGTGCTTGTGAGCAGTCACAGGAAAGGTACTGTAAAGCTGTAATTCACTGGGGTCGCAACCCTTCTTTCCAAGGTGGAGGTGACTGCAGAGCAAGCGGCCAGCAAGGCCCAGCGCCCGAAGGAGAAGAGGCGGAAGCTGAAAGGGAACCTGGCGCCGCTGACGGGCAGGAACTACCGGCAGCTGCTGGAGCGCCTACAGGCCAGGCAGGCTCTGCTGGAGGAGCTGCGGGGCCGGGACGAGGGGAAGGCGCGGGAGCTGCAGAGCAAGATGCAGTGGACCAGCCTGCTGTACAAGGCGGAGGGCGTGCGCATCCGCGACGATGAGCACCGGCTGCAGGAGGCCCTGAAACGCAAGGAGAAGCGGCGGGCACAGCGGCGGCGCAGGTGGGAGAAGCGCACGGCCCACGTGGTGGAGAAGATGCGGCAGCGGCAGGACAGGCGGCGGCGGAACCTGCGCGAGAAGAGGGCGGCCCGGGCCGAGCGGCGCCTGGAGAAGGCCCGCAGGAAGGGCCGGATCCTGCCCCAGGACCTGGAACGGGCCGGCCTGGCATGAGCCTGTGGCCCTGGGGGGCTGCCCTCCCACCTCATGGGCGGGCGGCGGGAGCTTGGTCTGCACTCCTGGCAGATGGCGGCTCCGTGGGTTCCCCCCACAAGCTGGTTGGGAGGGCTCAGCGCCCCCGGGGGAAGGAAAGGAAGAGTTACCGAGAACGGAGGCCCAGATCCTTCCGAGCTTGGGAGGGGCTGACCGGGTCCGGGTTCCCGCCTTCTCTTGGGAGGCCCAAAGCTGCCCACAAGTCTGGGGGGTGGGAGGCGTGGAAGGCACGAGGGTTGAGGGGCTCTTCCCTGGCTCCTCCTCCCCCTCCCGTGTTGACACGGGCCGGGAACGTGTGGCCTTTGGGACTGCCCGTGTCCGTCCAAAACCCCCCTGGAAGGGAGGAAGCTCAGAACTGCTCCAGCCCAAGTCCAGGGTGGCACCGGCCTCGCCGTGGGCAGAGGGTGGGACCGACGTGGCTGTGACTGGGAGGGCGTCATCCTGAGTGTCTTTGCAAGAGCAGCGAGAGTTAGAGCTTAAGGCCAACACCCACACGGGAAGTGTTAAGATTGTGATACCCGCTGGGGGCCCCCTGGGTGGCTCCGTCGCTCAGACGCGCCTGACTCTCGGGCTTGGCTCTGGTCCGGACTTCAAGGCTCTTGGATCAAGGCCCCCATCAGGCTCCCCCGTCAGCGTGGAGTCTGCTTGAAATCTCTCATGCCCTCCCTCGGTTCTTCCTGCTCGTGCTGTTTCTCTAAAATAAATAAATGTTCGGTGGGGAGAGAACGATGGCGGCCGAGGACGAGCGTGGCGTGCGCTGTGCCGGGAGGAAGGGGGAGCCGGGGCACGCGGAGGGTGTCCGTGCAGGAGAAGGCAGCAGACAGGGACCGCTGGGAGCTAGGACTCGGCGGGGTGATGCGCACCGCCCACAGAGGCGGAGGGATTCCACACACCCCTGCAGGGGAGCAGAACCTCTGCAGACACACAAGACCCGGGTTTGTGGCTCATGAGTCATTCCTCAGTAAAGCCGTTGGTAACTGTTAGGCTGAGCTCCAGTTACATCGATGGTAACGGAAAGGCCGGCGTGGCCATCCTGGCCAGAGCGGACTTGAGGTCCACAGCACCACAGAGGCTAAGGTAGGTCACGGCAGGATGGAGGATGGAGGGGCTCTGACGCCTCCATCAGGGGTGCTGACGCCCCCAGTGACGGAGCTGCAAGTCCCCCAGGGGAAATCTGCGCACAAACAAAGGCAGAGGCATCTGGTGCCTCTCTCAGGCCGAGACACACCAGGCAGAACTCCAGTGGATCGGGAAGATCTAGATGCGGGCTGGGAGCCTGATCTAAGGACCCAGAGCGCTGTGTCTGGACACAAGCGCCCGGCTCGCCACCCACATCTGGGGCAGCAACGACAACTGACCGCCTGGTCCACGAAGCAAGCTCTCTGTCAAGGAATCGGCGTCCTCCCAGGCGTGTTGTCTGGCCACAGCAGGGTTTACTTGTTGGAGTCAAGAGGTGATTGCCGAAGTTCCGCATGAAGAAGTCTGTTCCAAGGAGAACCGTTGTCACAGACCCCAGGAGATGTAACCTCAAGAGGGAATCATGACGACAGACCCAACAGGGAAGGAGGGACATTGCATCTCCGACAAGAAATCCACCAGCCCAGCGGCTCAGCTGGTGAGGACCCCCCTCGCCCTGAAGTCCTGCTCCTGCCCAGGGACTTCCGGTCAGGACAGCCCCTCTAGTGTCCTCATAAAATAACTCTCCTTTCTTTGTCGGACTTTATGGTGGTTTTGCTATAGCTTGCATGTCCCGAATAGTCCCGAATTGTAGTTCTCTGCTATTCCTGAATAAAGCCATTCTGGGGGCAAAGTACTGGTGGTTTTTAGGTCAGCAGGAATCTCCCATTGGCACCGGTTCTTTGGGTGAGACTGAGAAGAAGGAACCTGGCCTTCCCTCCTGTTTGGGGCCCCAGGACTTGAACTAATGCATGTTCAGAAATTCAGAGAGGGGCTGTGACCGATCAGGTAGCCCAAGTGAGGCATCTGTTTGCCAGACCTGGGGACGGGGGACAGAGGATCTCCAGACCTCGGTGGGTCGTGCCATCCAGCTCACCGCACTAGTCTGGCAGGAAGTCATGGGAACCTTGCATACGTGGCCTGTGGGAATAAAAGTTCGCTGCATGTTCTCTGCTGTTGGGTCGTGACACCTGCGTTGGCCCTGGGAGCTCAGTTATGGTGTCATAGCAGCGTTCCAGCTTCAGAGAGGAGCCACCATGCTGCTTTTCCAAGGCGACTGAGCTCTGCATGTGGCAAAGGTGCGTCTTCCCGATCCCCCCCTGACCATCTGCTGGGTGGGTGAGCAGGTGACATGACCAGGCTCCTCCGCATCTTCCTCTCCATGGGGATTTCTGACGTTTCTGTTATTCCAGGGCGTGTCTGGGAGCTTCGTGTACCTTAGTGCAGACCTCAGTGGACTCCAGGCTTTGTGTGGGCTGCAGAGGCGAGCACTGAATCCGTCCTCGTTCCCTAGCTAGCCCATCGGACCTTGGTCGCACACGCCAGCCATTCTGGGATTGCGTCCCTCCTGGCCAAGCACTTCCAGGATCAGCTCCCACATACTTCCCTGATTTTTCTTTTCCCAATATAAAGCAGCAAATGTTTCTGTTCACTTAGTGAGTTCAACCTTCCTATTTTGACCTTGTAATTGGGTACTCGGGGCCTGTTGAGGTCCGACTCCACTTGTAGGTCTAGAGATCGGAAGGCGAGATGGATGTAGCAATGAGGAAGCCGGCTCCTCGCGGTTTTGCAGAGAACCTGAAACTGGTCTGTTCAACCGGTAAAGTCATCAGTTAAGAAAACAGGCAGACTCCACGTGGGATCTGAAAGCTTTTGTCTGCAAGCACCACGTGTTCTCACATTTCACTGGCCCAAACCAGTCCCACGGCTGCACCCAACTTCCAGTGGGCACAGAAATGCAACCCACTCAGGGCCCGGAGGGAGGGCCAGGGTGCTTTGAAGAGGCTGATACCTCCTGAGCAGAGGCTGGCTGCCAGCGCTCTTGGCGCACATTTCTACATCAGTCTCGGCTCTCAGCGGCAAGCCGTGGGTGACACGTCTGTGGACCTGAGCGGTAAGGGGATGAAGAGATTAGGGCACGTCCACCCTGAAGCAGTCAGCACGAAGCTGGTATTTCTTCTTTCCGAAGGCACCAACGCCAGCTAGGAAAATAAAAACAGAAAACAAGACGATCTTGTTGTAAGTAGGAGGCATTGGTGTCCCGACCCACACAGCAGCTGACGGCGCAGAAGCCAGCAGGAATCGAATAGGAGCAAAATGCAGTGAGGAGGGGATGTCTTTGGTCATAGCTCTTGGGAGGACCCGTAAGTCCCCTCTCCGAGAGGCAAATGCAAAGCCTGTGTCAGCTTCAGGAATGTGAGGGGCAGAATGGCAGCTGGAGCCCATGTGGGAGTTTGGTCCTGGGAAGAGGAGTGTGGCATGGGGGCAAAGACTCAACCACCTGGCCGGAGCACCTCTGTGGGGGGCTGGGGTGACCGTGACATTGCCCTGAGACTGTTCCTACAGCTTCCTGTTCTCTCCGACTCGGGGGTGTAAAGGCTGAAGCTACACACCCAGCCCTCGGTTATAAGGAAAGTCCTGTTGCTCTGAAAGATAATCATGTTTCATCCTGCTTCCGTGACCTGTGCAGATACCTGTGTCGGGAAGAAGCTTACTCTGTCATGAGTTTCCACGTGGGAATTTGCATGAGATCTGTGTAGAAATACCACCCGATGCAAAGGAGAGAGCCAGGGACAGGTGCACTTGAAGAACCCATGCCAAACACTTTTTGCCAGTGAATTTTCTCAAATATTTCCTCAGGAATAAAAAAAAACAGAAGCAAAAGCCAATCACCTCTCTAAAGGAAGCCCAAAGTAGAAAAACGACCTTGCAGAGGCAATAGTGAGTCAACAGAAGGATTGAAAAATATCAGGCAAGGAGCGCCCGGCTGGCTCAGTCCATGGAGCATGTGACTCCTGATCTCAGGGTTGTGAGTTCAAGCCCCCACTGGGTGTAGAAGTCACTTAAAAATAAAAAATTCTAAAATATGTCAGACAAGCTCAGAATGGGAGAAAAATAGGTCATCACAGAAGTAGAATTGAAGCAGCGTAAGATGGCTTCCTATGACAACAAGCATTCTCAGCGACTGTCCACTGAAGAGCGTATCATGCAAGACGCAAGAGGAGATGGGCTGAATGGCCTTCAAGCTCTTCATGTCTGTTCATTCAGATCAGCTGGACACAGAGTAATCCCGACCCCTAAAGGTGTGACACCATGCAGCGTGACGTATACCGAGAGTGGGCGCTACAAATTTTCAAATACAGGGTGGTCGTAATTAGTCCACGAATATTAACTCACTGTAAAGTAAATCTTAATACCCTAAACAAAAGAAGAGCACCACAGGCAATGTTAACTTTCTTGAGTTGTTGCAAATAATAATAATAATAATAATAAAATAAAAACTGCTACCCTCAAGTAATTTTCAAAGGTCGCTCAGGAACTGGGAGGAAAGCAAGTGGACAGGGGCATTGGAGTTGGTGGGCTGAGCTCAAAGAAATGAGCTGATTTTTTTTTTTTTAAGATTGTATTTATTTAAGAAAGAGAGAGCATGAGCAGGGTGGAGGGGCAGAGGGGGAGAGAGAAGCAGACTCCCCACCAAGCAGGGAAGCCAAAGTGGGGCTCAATCCCAGGACCATGGGATCATGAACTGAGCTGAAGGCAGATGCTTATCTAACTGAGCCACCCAGGTGCCCCAGGAGTAAACTGATTTTATTACTTAGGTTAAAAGACAAGAAATAAAAAGTAAATTAGAGGGGCGTCTGGGTGGCTCAGTGGGTTAAAGCCTCTGCCTTCTGCACAGGTCATGATCCCAGGGTCCTGGGATCAAGCCCCACATCGGGCTCTCTGCTCAGCGGGGAGTCTGCTTCCCCCCTCTCTCTGCCTGCCTCTCTGCCTACTTGTGATCTCTGTCTGTCAAATAAATAAATAAAATCTTTTTTAAAAAAAAGTAAATTAGACATCCCCATTAAAAAAGAACAGCAAACGACAGGGAAGCAGAGAAAAGGACTTGGTGTGGGTAAGAGGAGATGTGAATCACACAACATCAAATCTACAAACTATTAACAAAGGAAGAAGAAAAGGTTATTTGGCCTAATTCTATGCAAATAGATTTGAAAATCTGAACAAAATAGATCATATCCTAGGAAATACAATTTAGCAAAGGTGATTTTGGAAGAGAGAGCAGACTGCTTTTCGTAAAGGAAATGGAGAAAATGTCTAGAGTTAACCCTGTCACAAAATAAATAATAATGATGGAATAAAATGAGGTCCAAAATTTTACAGAATCCTACCCAAAAGCCTACAGAACAGATCATTTTGATTCATGTACACTTCCCAGAAAACAGAAATTTTGCTTCTAGATTACTTGTATGAATGAGCGTAACGTCAGTAGTGAAATGCAACGGCACAGAGGAGAAGAGGACAGAGGAGCAGCACTTAAGGTCCGGCAGAGCCTGCTGGCAAGGAGGCGCCTCCGAGCCTCCCCCCTTCCTGGGACAGGGCCTGCCACGTAACAGGCCATCACCAACAGCCACTGAGTACGTGAATGTTTACGCACCAGGTTCTGCTGGGGGCACAACGCCAGGATGTCTTACCTTTGCCTATGGTCCCCGTATTCTGGAGGCACATGAAGCACCATTCGGTGGTGCGGGGAGGGCTCCCGTGGGGCGCTGCCAGTGCATCGCAGGGGAACTGAGGCACGGCCCCTGACATGGGCCTGCGGTGCTAGGGAAGACGCCCCAGGGGAGCAGTGTGCAGGCTTCTCCCTCTCCCTCTGCCCCTTCCCCTGCCTGTGCTCTCTCTTGTTTGTTCTCTCTCTTTCAAAAAATACAATCCTTAAAAAAATAAATAGATATTGTTAGGATGAAATTCATATAACAGGAAACCGAACGTTTAAAGCACCTGACTCAGTGTCTTCTAGTGCATTCACACTGTTGTGTGGCTGCCATCCTTCTCTTGCTGCAGGACGTTCTTGTCACCCCCAGAAAGACCCCGAGCCCATTAAGCAGTCCTTCCCCCTTCCCTCCTCCCTCCCACTCCAGCACCCACCAACCTGTGTTCCTCCCCACTGAGTTAGCACCTCCGGACACTTCACAGAAGTGGAATTACAGAATATGGACCTTCGGTCTCATTTCTCTCACTGAGCCCAGTTTTTTGAGAGTCCTTCCCTGTAGCGTCTATCAGGACTTCATTCCTTTTTTTTTTTTTTAATTTTCAAGATTTTATTGATTTATTTGACAGACAGAGATCACAAGTAGGCAGAGAGGCAGGCAGAGAGAGAGGAGGAAGCAGGCTCCCCGCTGAGCAGAGAGCCCGATGCGGGGCTCGATCCCAGGACCCTGAGACCATGACCTGAGCCGAAGGCAGAGGCTTAACCCACTGAGCCACCCAGGCGCCCCTGGACTTCATTCCTTTTTATGGCTGAATTGTATTCCGTTGTGTGGACAGACGGCGTCTCGTTTGTTTGTTGATGGGCGTTTGGGCTGCTTCCACCCGTCGGCCCCTGACAACCCGCTGCTGCGGACATGTGTGCACGGGGACGAGATTCATGAGCCCTGTTAGGGTCCGTGATCAAAGGAGCAAGACTGATACAAAGCGAAGGTCAAGCAAAGCTTTATTTCGCGCCAAGCATCAAGAATCAAACTGACCGGTCAGGGCTGTCTCTTACGAAAAGACGACGACGACGATCCCGACAACGTCACTCCCAAGAAGGCCGCTCTGGGCGAGGCTGCTCCGCAGATGAGGCCGCTCCCCGGTCGGAGCCGCTCCCAAGAAAAGGCCACTCCCAGGAAGGCCGCTGCTGATGAGGTCGCTCCCTGGACAGGGCCGCTCCCAAGAAGAGGCCACTCTGGAGGAAGCCGCTCCCAGGACGAGGCCGCTCCCAACGACGAAGAGGCGATGACGACAGCGACGACGACAAGGAGGACAACACCGATGACACAGACTCTGCTCCCCATGACGCCACTCTGACAAGGCTGCTCCCCAGAGGAGGCCACCGCTCCGGACGAGGCCGCTGCTAATGAGGTCGCTCCCCAGACAGGGCTGCTCCCCGAACAGGGCTGCTCCTGCGGGCCGCTCTGGAGGAAGCCTCTTCCGCGGCGATGCTGCTCCCGCAGGGCCGCTCACCAAGGAGGCCTCGTCCCAGACGAAGCCGCTCCCCGGAATGACGCAGCTCCGGCGAGGCAGCGGCTCCGGCGAGGCAGCGGCTCAGGGTTGCCGGCGAGGTTGCTGCCGTCTAGGCCGTTCCCGCGGCGCCGCTGCCGAGGGTCGCGGTGTGCGGGCGGGGCCGCTGGCGTCGCCTATAGCTCTGACAAGAGCTGTCACAGCTCCTACCGCTCTTCTTCCCTCTCCCACGACTCCCCTGCTCCGGCCGACTCCCCTTCTTCCTCCCCGACAGCCTCGCAGACCAACCTTTATGGGGGTGGTTGAGCCCCGCCCCTCCACAGGCGGCCAATTGAATCCCAATTCACCCCAGTGGATATACACGCGCCCCACCGATTGGACGTCTCCACCGGCCTGCCCCGCCCCTACATCCGGGTCCACAAGCCAGTTCCTCTAGGGGAGGGGCAGGCCCTTACAAGCCCCACAAGATCAAGGCCGGTTGTGTGCAGCGCCTGGGGGTGGACCCCGGTGATGGGAGGGGCCTCAGGATGAGACCTGGTGTGAGCGCAGCCGCTGGTCAGCCGCAGCTCGGACGTGTGTGCGGGACACATGGGGCTGCAGCCTGTGGGGTCGGCTCCTCCTGGAAGGACCCAGAGGCTTGGTCCCCTGCATCAGCTCTCCAGCCCCACTGGGCGCCGCCTTCCTACAAAGCCTCGTCACACTGTGTGGTTTTCAGGATGCTTTACCCCCAGCCCAAGGTGCTGACCCCCTCGTGAGTAAATTTACTGAACTGTGTTCCCTCCCTCCCCTCCCTTCACCTCCCTTCTAGAAACTTACGGAAATTCAAGGCAGACGCTGAGGGCGGGTTCATTGAAAACTCGGCTGGCGCATGCTTTGTCGGTCGTGTTCCTGTCCTTGCTGCCCAGATCTGGATTCGGGGCCCAAAGATCATTCTCTGTGCTTTGCTCCCTCTCCGGGTGGCGTTTTCCGCTTTCTGTCCCTTGCCCACCAGAGACCGAGGGAGGGGAGCTCCCTCCCTCTCGGGGGAGGGCCCCCTCTCCTTGCTGGGCAATCCCAGCTCCCACTCAGGTCCCGCAGGGTCCGGACTTGCTTAGAGCGCCGAGGGCTGCACAGGGTTGAGTACGGGTTGGCATCTCATTGGTTTCTTGCAGGTGTGAAGTCCTTCTGGAAGGAGGGCGTGCCCTGTGGCTTCCTGAACGGATGGAGGCCGGGGGAGGGGGTGTTCCGGGTGGGGGTGGCGAGCACCAGGGCCCTGGGCGTGTTGACTCTCCAGCCGGCTCACGCGCTGCCTTGCAGCTGTCTTGTGCAGGAGGAACGGTGTCCTTGTCCTGACCCCGTGGCTGCCCCTGTCATCTGGAAAGGGAGCCCCGACACTGACATCCTGAATGAGCAGTTCCGGCCACAGAACGCCACCATCAGACTAATGGTGTTTGCTATCAAAAAGTGAGTCGATGAGATGACAGAGGGTGGGGACCGGGAGGCAGGAGAGACCAAAGACATCATGGTGTGTGCGTGTGCAGCGCAGAGTGGGGCAGGGACCCCCGTCCTCGGGATTAATGTGACCGTGCATGCATTCAGCAGGCTTACGGGGCTCTCCTGGGCCCACTGAGGGACACCGCTTGGCTCCCTCTCAGGAGGCTGCATGTCACTGCGGCTGACACCCCCCCGGCACAGACACAGCCCTGACCCCAGGCTGCTCTCCTGTGGAGTCAACGGGCAGCGCACCCCAACATGCAGGCTACTGGGGAGCCCTCTCCAACCAGAGACGTGGAAGGGGAGACACGTACGTGTAGTGGATTGGTAGCGAGGCAATGCCAGTCGGGCTGGATCCTCCTCTGCGTCCCTTAGAGGATGAGGCTCATGAGGGGGATGGCAAGGTCAGACCCAGCCGTCAGTGCCGGACCCCAGGTCCCTGAGCAGGAGCTGAGCAGCGAGGCCATGGGACCCCAGGGGACCCGTGAGCATGCCAGGCACGGCTACTGGCAAGAGGCCTGGCTCCTCAGAGCCCCTGGAAGGTGGGGCTGGTGACAGCATCAGCTTTCAGGATTGCCATGGGGTGGGGGGGAGCATGAGAGCCCAGGGGGTGCAGGGCCTGTGGCAGGTGGAGCTTCCTTCCTCCAGAGAGCTCCCTCAAGGCCCTCAGGATCGTCCTGAGGCCTGGGTGACCCTTTGCCCAGGCCGTCTTGAGAGAGGCATCGGGCCCCATGGGCAGGGACTGAGACGGGTATAGGTTTGGCCCAGAATCCTCCCCCAGTCCCTGGAGACAGGGGACGGACATCACCAGCCAGAGCCTCACTGCCCAGGGCTCGTGGTCAGCACGAGTGGCTCTGTCGCAGCACTGCCCACTGCACAAACACGGGCTCTCCTCACATGTCCCCCCCTGGGCTCTAAACGTGGCCCGGGCCATGGGCTGGAGATGGGTTTGCACGAAGGAGCCCTTGCCTGTGGGATCCTTGGAGGGAACCAGACTCACAGAATCCAGCCGCGAACCCACACTCACATTGCCCGGTCGTGGACTTGCCCCGGTGACCTGACTCGAGCCTGTGGGGTGTAGCGTCCCTGTCCCCAGGTTCAAGGTGGTGCCTACCTTCCCAGTGGGAGCCATTGACTGATCTTCCAGGAATGGGGAAGACCTAGGGAAGTAGCTTCAGAGGCTGCTGATAAAAATCCATCTCAGAGGGGCTCAGCAAACCTGCCTGACCACGGGGAACTGCTATCCCCACAGTGCGGATCCCCCCACAGTGTGGAGCCCTCACGGGGGACCAGCCACATGAGGCTGTTGACGAAGACTTCCCACGTCTTGGGGCCGGGGAGATGTAGACCTGGACCCGGAGGTTATGCCCTTGGATTCACAGCTGGGGCCCAAGCAAGCCCCCTCTTCTTCTAGGGGTCGACTTTCCCCTTCCCTGCCCCTGGGCTGGACCAGATACCTGATCTGGGGGAGTTCGGGGAATACCAGTGGTTGACCAGGGACCTTGTCAGCAAGAGAATCAGTCGCCATCAAGGAGGGACAAGGCAGGAGGTGGAGACAGCTTAGTGGGGGCCAGCGACAGCCCCCCAAAGCTAAGTGGGGCAGGAGGCCAGCCATCAGGCTCCCTGAGGAGCTCTGAGGCTTCCCAGAGGAAGGCGTTGTGCCCTCGGGCCCCTGGCTCACAGGAGCGCAGCTGGGGATGACCCACCCTCGTAGCCCCCATCCGCTGTGGGTGCTGGGGGTCTTAGCACACTGTCCCGTCCACATCTTCATCCTTGTTCTCTGCATAGGAGATGCAGGGAGGGCAGGAGAGGGGGCCATGGGTGGAGACCCGGCGTGGCGAGTGGGGCACACACGGTGCTGGGGGTTCCTACTTCCGAGGAAGCCAGGGCAGGACTCCAGGCTGAACCACAGGGGGAGCTGGGGCATAGTGGACGCCCGGTCCCTCCCTGGCTGAGGAGGAGCCCCAGCCCTCTCTGTCCCTTGTTTAGGACCTCAGTCCACACAGGGGAGCCGCTCTGACAAGGCAGGATCGAAGGTCAAGTCCAGAGACAGCAAGTGGCCAAGACACAGAACAGTGGGGTTGTCGGTGGAGATGAGGGGGTGCGGTGGCCAATGCTGTAGAGGGTCTCGGCCTCAGCCTTGGGGCACCCTCTGTGGCGCGGCTCTGCCGTCCCGCGGAGGCCCGCGCACCGCCCGCCCTCGTGCACCTGCCGCTGGGGGAGCGCCTGCCCCCTCCTCTCTGCGGAGGGCTCTCTCCTGCCCCAGCCGTGCCTCCTCCCATGCCAGCCGGAGGCTGCCAGCCATGCAGCCTGGGAACCTGGACATCCTGACGACCCCTGCCCTGGGGACAGAGCGGTGTGGGTGGGACGTGGTCTCCCAGTGGGCCTGAGGTCAAGGTCCCCACGGGGCTCCCTGCCCTCCTTTGGGCTCATTGTGCCATGTCCTCCCTCAGGCTCCCTGGGCCCAGCTCCTTCTCTGCTGGGGGGGCACCCTCAGCCCAGGCTGCACACGCTGGGACCGGGAACAGGTCGTCTGGACCTTCTGGCCTTGTGCTTCCCTGCCTGTGCTACGGGCACCGGCTGGCCTCCCAGGCTGGTCCGAGGACACCCAGCGCAGGGAGGTGCAGGGCCCTGCACGAGAGATGCCTCAGGACCCCCGAGCGAGCACACAGGCCTCGCACAGCACAGCGCACCAGTCTTGTGGGTGGCCCAGCGCTGGAGGCGGGCATCCCGCCACGGGGCACGGGGAGTCCTGGCGAGGGAGGCCGTGGCGGGGGAGACCGCTGAAGGATCCCAGAAGAGGCAGGAGACAAGGAAGACAACAGGACAGAGCTTCCCAAGGAGGACGATGTAAGGCTCAGAGGACCTCCGAGGCCCTTGGGAGAACTCAGAGGCCCTGGGGATGTTGGCTGCGATGCTGTCCTGGGGCCGAACAGTTGTGTCCCAAACCCCCAGTCCACACTACCTGAGGCACTCTTTGTTGCATCGAGGAACCAGGGCCGGTGGGCCAGGAGGACTCCCAGGGCGTCGGGTCGAGGCTATCCTGACTTTGCCTCCCTTTGCAGGACTCGATGTGTCTCGAGGCAGTGCGAAGCATCGTTCTCTCCATTCTTGGTGCAGCCGGCCTCCGTGTTCCGGAGCAGATTCCTGGTGCCCATCCCGCTGCTCATCCTGAGGACTGTCCCCCGTCGGCTCCCACAGTGACCGTGAGTGCCATGGGGACAGGGACCACGTGGTTGGGGGTGCTCCCAGATGAAGCCACAGTGCTCAGTTCCCAGCTGGGGGCCCAGATCCTCTGCTGGATGAGGGAGGAGGGGAGGGAGTCAGGCTGGGGGAGAGGGAGGAAAGGAGGGAGGGAAAGAAGAGGAAGGTATAGAGGGAGGGAGGGAAGGAGGGAGGGAGGGAAGGAATTTGGGAGGGAGGCCGTGAAAGCACAGAAGTGCGGTCCAACCATCAGGAGTCCTTGGTTGGAGGGAGGTACGAAGGCGTCCCAGCCCAGACCCTGGATGGTGGCTCAGGGCACATGCATCTGTCCTCCCCGTCCTGCCCTTCCTTCTCCTGGGCCCTCTGTCATCCTGGATCCTGTCCACCTCCTCCTCCAACCATTCTGAATGTTCCCAGGAACAAGGGGGCAGGAGGGCATCTCAGGAGGGGCTTCCCGCATCCCGTGCCCAGGACGACACTGGGACAGGGGCTCCAGGACATGCTCTCCTGAGGACTGGGACCAAGGATGGCGTCCATCTCCTTGGGCATGAACGCTGTTCCATTCCCAGCTGTCCCCACTGTCTCTCCCTGCTCTCTCCCTTCTGGCATGAAAAACGGTGCCAGAGATTCCGGGCTGAGTCCCAGGTCGAGCACTGCTAGGTGCTGGGTGCCCCTGCGGCCTGGGATGGGTGCTGCCCACTGTTGTCCCAGACAGGGGTGCCCATCCCCCTTCTCCCCGGGGGACCTGCACCGGACCTCCGTGTCCTCCCGTTCTCCCCAGGGCTGCTGGTCCCCAGGCCAGACACCTGCCGGTCTGAGGGGGACCCGCGCTGCCTCCAGAGGGTTTCCTTGGCCGGTCCGAGGACACCCAGCGCAGGGAGGTACAGGGCCCTGCACGGGAGATGCCTCGGGACCTCCGAGCGAGCGCACAGGCCTCGCACAGCACAGCACACCAGTCTTGAGGGTGGCCCAGGCCTCCCCCGGGAGCTCCCGCATCGCTGACACATGCCCCCGCGTGCCTATCCGCCGCCCCCCAACTTGCATGCTTTCAGTCTGTGTCATTGTGGGACCCGGTGACTTGGAGCCTGGTTGGGACCAGAGGCCGGGGAAAGCTTTCTCTGGCCTTGGGTTGTGAGTGCTGTGTTGCCCGCGTGTGGTGTGTCTTCCCGCTCTCTGCCTTGCCCTGGTGTGTGTGCGGGCCCCGGGAGGAAGCTGCCGTGTGGCGTCTGGGGTCAGGCTGTGGTGTCCCAGCGGGAGCAGGGGTCTCGGCCCCGACATTGGGCCCCTATCCACTCAAGGGGCCTCCATGATCCCGTCTCCTCTGGAATCCATCCGGGGTTTTGGTATGTCAGAAGGGAAGTTCTATGTCCAAGACACCCAGGACAACACCCAGTCCCCTTTGGAAAGAGGTGGGCAGACACCAGGGCACCTCCTGGGTGATTCCCCTCCCAGAAACGACCAGAACAGGTGAAGGAAGTGGGAGAGAAAGCAGCTGAGGCGTGGCGAGGGGCCGGGCTGGGGGAGTCATGGGCAGGGAGGGCTTGGGCTCAGGGTCCCCTTTGGGGAAGGAGATGTTCCCCAGCGATGTCCTGGGCTGCGGGGGGAGGGCGCCGGGGATGGACTGAGTGCTCAGCAGGAGATGCACGGAAAAGGATGCATTTTACTTAAAGGAGATAACAGAGAGCGTAGAGGACGTGGAAAGCGACGGCAGTGACACTGTACTGGAGGGAAAGAACACGGGGGAGGGGATGAAACTGGTGGCCGGGCGTCGGGGTCGGGGCATGGGACTGAGGGGAACCGTCCAGGGAGCTCTCCCCGCAGAGCGGGGGGCTGCGGAGGGGGCTCTGGGAGCCCCGCAGGAGCAGGTGTGGGGGCAGGGGCCGGACCAGGGGCACGGCCAGATGCAGGAGCGGGGACAGGGGCAGGAGCGGGAGCCAGGGGAGGGACAGGGTCAGCAGGAGCGGCCGGTGCAGGATGCAGGGCTGGAGCTGGGTCAGGGCTGGGAACAGGAGTGCAGGCAGGGGCAAGGGAAAGGGCAGGAGCAAGAGGCAGGAGCTGGGTGTGGGGCGGGAACAGGGGCCCAGGCAGAGGCAGGGGAAGAGCCAGTGGCCCTGCGAGGGGCCAAGGGAGGGGCAGCGGTCCTTGCAGAGGCTGGGGAAGGGGCAGGGGCTGGGTCTGGAGCAGGAAGAGGGACCCAGGCAGGAACAGGAGAAGGGGCAGGAGCAGGGACAGGACCTGGGTCTGGGGCAGGAACGGGGGCCCAGGGAGGGACAGGCGAAGACATAGTGGCCCTGGTAGGGGCAAGGGAAGGGCCATTGGTCCTTGGAGGGGCAGGGGAAGGGGCTGAGGAAGAGGCAGGAGCAGGGGCAGGAGCGGGGGGAGGGACTGGGTCTGGGGCAGGAATAGGGGCAGAGGCAACGGCACAGGCAGGGGCAGGATCCAGGGTAGGGACTGGGTCTGGGGCAGGAACAAGGGCAGGGGCAGGGGAAGGGGCAGTGGTCTTGGCAGGGGTTGGGGAAGGGGCAGGAACAGGGGCACAGGCAGGGGCAGGGGTAGGGGTACTGGCAGGGGCAGAGGAAGGGGCAGGAGCTGGGGCAGGGGCAGGGGCATTGACAGGGGCTGAGTGTGGGGCAGGAACAGGGGCAGAGGCAGGGGCAGGGCAAGCGGCAAGGGCCCTGGCAGGCGCAGGGGAAGGTGCATCGGTCTTGGACGGGGCAGGGGGAAGGGAAGGGGCAGGGGCAGAGGGAGGGGCAGGGTCTGGGACAGGGACAGGGGCCCAGGCAGGGGCAGGGGCAGGATCCGGAGAGGAGCTGGAGCAGGGGCAGGGCCTGGGGCGGGAGCAGGCACCAGTTCTTCCTGGGCAGCGTAGGCTCTCCGGGCCCGGTTCCTGGTCCCCTGCTGGTCCCCGGCTGAGGTGGTGGCAGGCACCGTCCCCCAATGCCCAGCTCCTGCTGATGCCAGGGCCGGCCCGAGCTCCTTGGATGGAGCAGCTGTGAGAGGAGAGAAGGTCACCCATGTGCCTGCCTCTGCGTGTGCCTTGGCGCAGACGGGACCCAGCCCGGGGCCTCCCAGAGAAGCCGCAGCCGGGAAGGAAGGCTCAGCGGGACGCGCCCCAAGTGCTGGGTGCTCTGAGCCCAGTGCCTGCTCCTGGCCCCACACCAGCCTGTGGGGCTCGTCCCTGTGCGGCCCAGCACCGACCCATCCCCACACACCCCCAGGCACCCAGCCCCGGCCTTCTCACCCTCGCGCTGGGCTTCCGCAGGTGGCCTGGGAGCTTTGGAAGCCTTTCCTGGGACTGCGGACTCCTGGGTCAGAGAGGAGGTCATGTCCGCCTGCCTCTTCTCCTCATCCGTGGCCTTCTGCAAAGACAGGGACCGGTCGCCAGCCCGGACGCATCACAGCCCCGCCCGGCCGACCCCACTGTCCTCTTGCCCAGTTCCCCTGCTGCTCCCACATCAGACACAGACCTGTGTGTGCACAGCCCTGCACCCGGGACCGGGACCCACACCTGCAGGGCTCTCGGGATCAACCCTGGCCAGGAGCTCGCATCCCCCACACCCCGTCCCACCCAGCCAGCCTTGACCTTGAATGGGACCTGCTCACCGGGCATCTGACCCCTCATCCACCTGCTCCTGCTCAGGAAGGCCCCACCCCACGTGAGTCCCCCTTCCATCCACATGCATGCACACCCACACCCACACTCACACACGCGCGCACACACACACACACTCGCGCACACACACACACTGGCACACTCGCGCACACACACACAGGGGTTAGGGGACCCGGGGCTGCGCCCGTCGATGAGAGCGTGTAGGGCTGGGTGGCCGGCTCTGGCCTCCCGGTGTCACCTCTCTCTGCTTTCGGCCGAATGGCCAGAGGCGTCGGGCAGCCCTGACACGACTCCCCAGCGAGGGGAAGTGTTTGCGGGCGCGCAGTCCTCTGCCTCCAGCGTTCCGCGTCGGGGATGCAGCACGAGAACGTGTTGTTGGTTGGACGACGTCCAAGGCAATGAGCTGGGCGGGGGGCGTCCCTGGAATGTGGGTGCCTGGTGACGCGGGTTCCAATTCTGTTGGGCTCTGTGGCCAGGGAAGTGAGGTCATCATCCTGGGGACCTCTTCCCTGACTTCCTCCTCCCAGCAGAGCCCCCGGGGACCCCCTCCCCCAGCTGCTCGGTGCTCACCCTCCACCCCATGCCCTGTCCATACAGTGACACCCACAGAGCCCACCCACAGCCCCGCCAGCCCAGGGTGCAACCATTGTCCTGGCTTTGAGGACAGAGTTGGGTTTGGTCCAGGTTCCTGCTTCTACCCGAGACTGTGACCCCAGACAGACCCTGTGCCTCTCAGGGTCTCCCCAGGCTCTCCATCTGCACAGCAGGGTGTTCTGGCTTCTACTTCTCAGGATGCCATCCGGGGAAGGACTCCACAGACGTTCCGTCCCTGCTATCACAGGAGGCCGGTGCACACACTTGGCAATGCGAAGGGGAGCGGGAGCTGGGCGGGGCGTGCAACACAGCTCAGAGGGGCCCGGGTCTGCTCTGGGGTCCAGGCAAAGCCACTCCCCTGCTGCCCGTGTCCCGGCCCCAATGGGGAAGGCTGCAATTTACTTTCTGACTTTGTCCCCTGGAGACACAGACTTCCAGGGGTTCCATTAGCTGTAGGCCCCAGTCCCAGGGCCTCACGTGCGCCCATGGGCTGGGCTGTCCCCACAGTGGTTCCCGAGCATTCCCGAGTCCTGCGCACACATTCCTGTGGAGTCCCTCCCCCCAGGCTGGATGGCCCGTGTGACTGCGCTCTCAGGAAGAGAATGGGGCAAAACGATGGGATGTCATTTCCAAGCCGATGGAGGGAAGTCTGGGACTTTTCCTGGTTCCCTCTCACGGGTTCCTTCTCTGTGTGTGTCTCTGGGTCTCTGTTCTCTGTCTGTCCTTTTGTCTCTCTTTGATCCAGGGCTTTTGGAGATGCAAGTCCATATGGTTGAGCCACCCTGGGAGGCCCCAGTCCAGAGAATCCTACCGAGGGTCCAGGATGACCGGGAGGCAAGTCCTGCCACCCCCATTCTGAACCACTTCCCGCCAACACCCGAAAACGGTCCTGGAGACGGAGCCTGCCCTAGTCGGGCTTGAGCGGGGACAGAGCCCTGGCCTCTGGGGGACCAGGAGGCAGGGGCTCCCCGCCAAGCTGAGTCTGGATTCTGGCTCTCGGATGGTGAGCAGGTGCCTGGGAGGCCTGTGTGTCCCACAGCACAGACAGCCAGGAGGCCCTCCCTGCAGGCTGGGGTCTGGTGCACGGACTGTGAGATAGGTCAGGTCTGTTCCTACAAGCACTGAGCTCGGGTCCTGTCTTTGTCAGGACTCTGGGAGAAATTCGGTGTGCACAGTCAGTTCCTAAGCTGTACAAAAGGGCATCTGGGATGTGTGGAGACCCTGTCCCTCAGGGGGCTGGTATCCTCCATGTTCTAGTAAGGAAATAAGTAGAAAGAGGCTGAGGCCTTCTGGAACTGTGGAGGAGGATGACGGGGGCCTGCACAGAAACCCGCAGTGTCCCAGAGAGCTGTGTTGACAGCAGGGTTGCCCAGAAGGCGCCGAGCTCTGCGGGCCCCGGCGTGCTCTGCGCAGACAGGCCTGCCCGGCACCTCCCCGCAGCAGACAGCCAAGGTGTGGAAAGTGAGCAGCAGGCAGAGCGACAGTCAGAGAGACAGGCAGAGAGACAGGCAGAGAGACAGTCAGACAGAGAGAGAGACAGGCAGAGCGACAGAGAGACAGGCAGAGAGACAGGCAGAGAGACAGAGACAGGCAGAGCGACAGAGAGACAGTCAGAGAGACAGGCAGAGAGACAGCCAGAGAGACAGTCAGACAGGCAGAGAGACAGAGAGACAGGCAGAGAGACAGACAGGCAGAGAGACAGTCAGAGAGACAGAGCGACAGGCAGAGAGCCGCGCTGGAGGACAATGGAGCGGGAGCCACTCACGTCCTGGAGGGACGAGGCCCGCGTGTTGCCCCAGCCAGAGCCCTGGGCTGCCGCCAGTGTGGCCTTTCCAGGCCACCTCTACCACCCATGTCACTGCGGCCTCACTGTCTCTTCCCCCACGGAGGCTGGGGCGGCGATCCACTCTGGCCTCATGCTGTGTGGTCTAGGGGGGCCTCTGCAGGTCACCAGACCCAGGATTCGATCCTGCTGCCCCCCACTAGAGGTGATGGGGGCTCTGGGCTGGAGGACAGGGTGAGGACACCTGGGGCTGAGTGCGATGCTGCCGCAGGCCAGGTCTGGGGCCTGAGCGGGCCGCATCTTCCCGTGCCTGTGCCCGCGGCCTGGAACGTGTGCCTCATGGCCCCGGCTGGACTTTGAGTCTGCGGCCGCGACAGGCTTCACTCAGCCGCTGGAGCAAAAATGCCAGACCCGTGCCCTGCCCTTCTTCCCCCGTCTGCTGTGGCCTCGACGGCTGTGGTCTCGGCGTGACCGTGACACGAGCAGGACGTGGCCACTCCCGGTGGGAGGGGTGCAAAGGCAGCAGAGCCGAGCCGAACCAGTCACATCCCGCCAAGCCCCAGACACCAGAGCGATCTGCCGAGACCCCCACACCGCCCAGCCGCGCAGGCCTGCCCCGGCTGGCCCCACACTGACCCCAGACGGGAAAGATAAGTGCATCTGTGCGGCTCCCAGCCCCGAGATCCTGTGGTGGTCGCTCCGTGGCCCTGGCTGATGGAGCCATCCCACCACGCTCTCCTTGGGCGACCCTCACTGCGCCCGTCGACGCCATCACCCACGATGTACTGGTGACCCCACATGTCCAGCCCCCGCATCTCTGTCCTCTGAATTCCAGCCTCCCACAGGGCATCTCCATTTAGGGGTCCCGGACCCCAGACGCAGCCCCCAAGCCTGTCCCGTGTTCCCTCTCCTGTGATGGAAACCCCCGCCTCAGCCTGCATGTCCCCCCCCTTGCCCTTCCCTCTGCTCCCACTACCCTGGGGTTCTTCAAACATGGTTTCCTCTTCCACAGATGCCCACCCAACTCACCGAACTACCTCTGTCCTTCACCCCTCTTCCGAAAGTCCCTTCCTCCGAGAAGGCCTCCCTGACCGTCCTGCCCCGCCTGGCACGAGTCAGACCTGCTGCTGTTTCGCACTGGTCTGCAGACACGTTTCTCCGAGTCGCGCTGGTGTGTGCGCCCGGCAGCCCTGCCGCGAGCCTGTCTCAGTGGCCTCGCCAGATCCCCGAAGCTGCATTTGCCTATAGGCCTCTCCAGCCGCCAGCACGTGCCTGACGAGTCCCAGGTGCTTCGAAATGGCGTGTGGGTAAGTGAACTTTCTGAGAAAGCGCGGGCCGTCAGGGACCCCGGGATGGTAGCGGACGCACTGCGGAGAAGGAACACGGCAGGGATGACGCTGGACCAGCCCTGGTCTATTTCCCAGCAGGTAAGGGACAGCCTCATTCCGCCGGGGAATCGGGAGGCCATGAGCAGAGTAGGCCTGGCTGGGCCTCTCCCGACCCGGTCAGCACCTGACCTCCTACCCCATCCCTCCGTGATCCTAAAGGATCCCTCCTGGGCTACAGCCACGGCCCCAGCCGTCACCCCATCAGTGACCCAAGGTCATCAAACATGTCTCAGCACGTCTTGGCCAGCGCTCCTGGCGTCTGGGGGGCCCGCAGGCAGAGCCCTAAGGGAAGCAGCGAGGGGATGGCCGGCTCTCAGGGCAGGATGGTGTGCACAGGCGTCTGCGGGAGGGAGAGGAGGCCTGAGTGGGCACGGGTCTGCGGGAGCCCGTTGGCCCACAGTGTTCTTTGGCCCTCCCAGTGTCCCCCTGTGCTGGCCTGGGCACTACAGGCGGCCAGGCCAGGCATCGCGGGTCCTCCAGCGCTCGACCAGACGGCAGGCCCGGTGCCACCTGTTCAGGCCTGTGGGCAGGGCAGGTCTGGTGCTGCTGAGGGACCGGTGACGGTGGGAGGGTGAGGGGGTGGGGGGGTGCGGGGGTGGGGAGGTGGGGGGGTGGGCCCTACCCAGGGTGCACCTTCCCAGCCAGCTGCAGATCTTGGGAAAGATGGCCCTGTCCCCCTCCCTCTGTCCATGCCCCACAAGTCAGCTTTACGGGATGGATAGGGGCCGGGCGTGGGGTTGACCCAGACAGAAGGACCCGTGGTGTCTGTTACCATCTTTCGGGAGGACAGTCACACTGTGGGCGACCTCCAAAATCTCACATATGTCTATGAATTTTCTCATGCTCGGGAAGCTGGACGTGTTTTGTCTGCCTGTGGTTAGAAGCAGAATCAGCAGATCAGTGTCCCCAGGTCCGGCCGTCTGGGGCCACACCCCAGCCCGGGGCCACCGCAGTGCCCGCCAAGCTGGCAGGACAGGTGCTGCTGAGGGAGATGGCGGGGGGCCGGGGGTGTCCTCTGTTCCCCCCGTGCTCCAACGCAGGCGGGTGTCCCCAGCACGGCCTGGAAGCGGGCACCACAAAGGACCACGTGGGGAGCCCTCTCTGCTCACACAGCCCCTCCAGCCGCACCCCTGCCCCTGGCCGCACCTCCCATGGAGACTCCACAGGACCCCCCGCCCTCTCTGATGGACGTCCCATGGGCCTCGGTGCCCAGAGTGGGTTTGTGCCTCCTTTCCCCACCCCCTCCCTGGACAGAAGCTCCTGTCCCCCGTCCCTTCAGCCCTGGCCCTCTTCCCCCAATCCTGCCCTCAGCCCGGGGAGCGGGGGGCCCTGCCTCCACATGGATGGTGAGTCCCACTGCTGGTCTCTCACCCTCTGCACTGGGGTCCCCCACCCAGCTCTGCAACAGCCACATCAGAGACCTGTTCACGTGGTCCCCACATCCGGCCTGCGCTCGGCCCGCCCACCTGGCCACTGGCTTGTTCTGTGTGGCCCAAGCCTGTGCTCCTACTTCCCGCCTCCTGCCGGCCTGCTGTGCAAGGGCCGTGACGGGCGACGTGGACTGCGTGTCCGTGTCCTCCCACATTCAGACACCCCAGAGCGAGGGGGAGGTGCTGGGGTTGGGGGGTGCTCACGCTGGGATCAGCATCCGTGTAGGGAGAGGACAACGCCAGAGCACCCCCAACACGTGACACGGGGAGAAGGCGGCCGTGGGCAGACCAGGAAGGGGCGCCCCCCCCAGAACCCGTGAGGTTGGCCCGCTGAGCCGTGAGAATCAGCGTCCATCGTGGGCACCGGGGTCGTGGCGCTCTGCGGCGGAGCCCACGCTGAGGCGGGGCCTCCCCTGGCCACGCCTTCCCCTCTGGGCTTGTCGCCCCCCACCCCCACCTCACCTGCCCCACGCGCCCCCTCCCCAGAGGCGCCCGCCGGACTCACTGAAGAGCAGCAGGGTCCTGGAGGTCCGGCCAGCCCGGCCCAGGCGCATGTAGACCACGCCATAGCTGTAGTCGGTGGACAGCACGTGGAAGCCCTCCACCCCCTTCACTGGACCGGGAGACAAGTGTGGGTCCACGGGGTCACCCTGCCCAGCAGGGGCGTCTGGAAAGGGCCAGGAGTGCCCCCGACACCCAACCACCATCTAGGCCCAGGCTGCAGGCTCTCACATGCTTGTGGGCTCTGGGACCGTGGCTTGCCGGACACCCCGTGGGCCGCTGTCCCTCCCACGCACCCAGCCTTGGGACAGAGCATCTCCGGCTCTGTGGCCCTGAGGCCAGGGACACGCCCACCCCCAGGTCTTTCTCTCTGGGCCCCTGGCCGCCATACGCACAAGTATTCCTGAACGTCGCCTTTTTCCTATCTTTCCGCAGAATTAACGTGTGTGACCGGCACCCCTGTGACCTACGGGGGCAAGTGGGAACCCTTTGTTGGCTCTGCATTTCTGGGATTTTCCAGTCGGGACCAAGGCCAGTCCCACAGCTTAAGCGGAACACACCAAACACCCACGGTCTGTGGAACGTCCCCACACACCTGGTGGCATCTCCCAAAAGCAGTCCTTGAATTTGAGGGGCAGGAAGGGGTTTGGGGCCACAGAGACAGTCTGTTAGATTTCCAGATGACGGTGGGTCTGGCTCACCACCCCTCACCAGCTCCCTTTCCCCCATGGACAGGGGAAATGCCCTGGGCTGTTTGTGGCCAGGGCTCCGGGAAGAGTGTGCCGGGCCCCCGCCTTGGTCCGCTCACCGGCTGAAGGCCAGGACCACCTTCAGCTGGCCTGTGGTGTGTACCTTTACCACGGACGCCCCCAGCTTCCTCCTGTCTCTGCCCGGCAAGAATCCGTGGCCCTCAGAGGCGACAGCCAGAATGTACCAGAACCCTGAAAACTGTGGAGAGCGTGCTGGGGAAGCTGCCCGTGCCAGGCTCCCAGCCAGGCCCCCAGGAACCCAGCAGACCCTGACACTGGCCCGAGGCCCAGCCCGGGTCCCACACCCCCAGGCAGGCACAGCCTGTGTGCCAGACCCCGGCTGCCCACCCTGGGCCCTGGTGGGCAGGTGCCAGGCTGGCCGGAGCCCCAAGGGCTGGGCCATGGGTGCCGTATGCTGAAACTACCTCCTGTGCAAGGCCTCCCCTTCCTTCCAGCTTGGCCCTCAGTCCCATCCGCCGGACTTCCTGCCACAAACCCACGTTCCCGGGCAGCCGGTGTCCCTGTCCACCCCCACTAGAACCTTCCACCCACCCACCATCTTTTTATTCTGGAACATGCTCTGCTCATTCTGCCTCTGGCCCCTGGCATCTCCGGTGCCCTGAGGCTGCCCCTGCCTGGGGCCCTTCCCTCCCCCCTCCTGCGGGGTTGTGAGCTCCTACAGAGAGGCCGGGGCCTGGAACTCCCACCTGCCTCGGGCCACTGCTGAGTTTCAGGGAGTGATCATCCCGTCACACGCTGCATCCCTGGCCCCGTCGGCCCGGCGGTCTGGCTTGGGCACGGCAGGCGCGTGTGGCTCACCCTGTTCCAGTTGAGGTTCTGGGACTCCCTGGGTAGCTGTTCCTGCGGCCGGGACCCCAGAGCCAGCACAAGCGCCAAGACCAGCACGCACATCAGCCTCCCGGGTCCCATTGTCACCCTCCTCCCTCAGCCACCACAGCACTGGGTTTAAATCTCCCCGCCCACCGGACCCTGCCGCGGCCGTCCAGCCAGCCAGGAGCCTTGAGCCAGCCTCAGGTGGGCCAGTGGGAGGGAGAAGGGCTCTGGGACCCAGACGGCCAGCCCAGGTGCTCGGCGCGGCAGGTCTGCCTGAATTTGAAGGCCATCTTGTTCCCACGGGAGGCCCTGGGCCTTGCATCCCAGCCTCCCCAGATTAGAGGTGAACAGCCCGGAGGCGTGCCCATGAGTCACTGCCTAGGGTTACTTGCATGTGAGAAACAGGAGCCCCGTGCGGACGGGGCTCAGATTGCGCCAGCAGCCCCAGGGCTCTCTGCCCAGGCAGGTGCTGACGGACAAGGCTGCTGGACGTGTGTGCACCTGCCTAGCCCCGACCCCGCGGCCCTGCCCCTCTCCGAGAGCAATGGCCAGCCCCCAGCCCCGCCTCCGCCGATGGCCCGTGCTCTGGCCACCATGTCAGGCACGGCCCCAGCAGACCACGGGAGGACCGACAGCCTCTGGAATCCTGGCCCTGCCCTGGCCCCTGAGCCCCAGACCGGGAAAGCCGCGCTCTTGTGCCCTGGACGCCGTGGCACCCCAGCCGTGCAGCCTGGTGGCCCCCATGCCCACCCCCAGGGTCTGCTCTAACTCGGACGGTCCTCCCACCAGCTGGGGATCCTGGTGACCTCTGCTTGAGGAGCCGCTGCCCCCAGCCCAGCCCCCACTCCGGAGCCAAGACCTGGGTCCGTGTGTCCCCTCCTCCAGAGCTGGCTCTGTGCTGCGTGGTCCAGCCCTTGGCGAGCCCACCGCACCCAGCCTCTGCCCCCTGCACCGACGGGAGCCCCAACAGGGCAGTGCCCCGTCTGGCATTTCTGTTCGCCCCCGGCACACAGGTGAGACGCATCTGTAGGCGCCTGTGGAATCGCTTTATTTGGAACTGCAGCCTGAGTCCTGCGAGCGCGCCGCCCCATGCCGAGCTCCCAGGCAGCCGAGCCAGGAGGCCAGCGCCTGGCCAGCCTCACATGACTCAGCAGGCACTGTCCCCCCTGCAGGTTGCCGCAGTCACTGGAAACCAAGAAGACCACTGGGGGACCCCAGACTCACTGTGAGGGGTGTCTGCCCCCATCCCAGTCCCCGGCCCCTCACAGCAGCGAGGCTCGGGGCTGTAGGTCTGGGGTGATGCTCGGGAAGGCAGCTTACCTGGAAAGCCTTGTGCGCACAGGTGACTAGAGGGACAGGAAGATCTGTGAGGGTGGGCACCCAAGACACACTGGGGCCGCCCCGCTCTGCCCACAACCTCGCCCGAGACGGGGCTGCCCCTGTCTGGGCCTGGCTTGGGCAGGAACAGGTGACCCCATGAAAAGCTCCCACCCCAGTCCTGCCTAACTCCCTGAGGCCCAGAGGATCCCGAGACCGGACAGGGGCCTGTGGGCAGTGGGCGACACTCACGGTCCTGCTGCAGCACCGCCTGCTGCTGGGACAGGAAGCCCAGACCCTTGCTCCATCTGGCAAAGCGGCGCATGGCCTCCTGGCTGGCCAGGTCCGTCCGGCCTACGGGGCAGGACAGGGGCCCTCACCACATGAGCCCCGTGCCCCAGCCATCTTTCCTGAAGGGGAGCGGGGGCTGGGATGAGCCTCTGGGAGCGTAGCTGTGGGAGTGGTAGCCCTGGCCCCTGGTCTCCAGCACTTACTGTAGAGCTCCACGGTGCTGAAGGCCTCGTCCTTGAACTCCAGCTGCGTGAACACAATGGCGTAGTCCCTGAAGTTGGTGCCTAGCACCCGGTAGTCCAACACGCCCAGGGCTGGAAAACACGTGCCCCCGGGGGAGCATCAGACCGCACGAGAGGCCGCCCGGAAAGCTGAGAGCTCCCCAGCATTGTCTCCTGGTCCCTGAGCCAGCACACAGAGGGTCTCTGGGACGGGTAGCTGAAGAGTACCTGTCCCAGCTCATGTGGATCCTGTCCCCTCGGGGGGCACCACCACAGAGGGAGGCCCGGGGTCCCTGCGGGGGCATGCCAGGTAGAGCCCTCTGTCCTCAAGATTGGGGTAAAACCTCTGACAAAATGAGTCCTTTCGCTTCCTAGTGGAAGTCTTGGGGACGGACCAGACCGGTCCCCTCCCCACGGCACTGGGCAGGCGGCAGGGGACCCCAGGCGGGCTGCAGGCCGTGGAAACCACCGGGGAGGGCCCAGGAGCCAAGCGCCCCTCCCCCGCCCTGTGCCCATGAGACAGCAGAGGCCGTTGCCTTACAGGGGTTCTCAAACGCCCATCCGGGCTTCTGTCTCAGCAGCTCTACCACGTTCACGTCACACCTCTCCAGCCTGGAAGAGACACCGTCCGTCCTCGGTTGCGGGTCGGGACTCAGGACCGGGAGGGACGAGGACTCTACCTCCCGGATCTGGCCGGCCGCCAGCGTGCGGCACAGGGGGTCCTGGCTGCCGCCGGCCCCGGCTACCTGGAAACCTCGTTCTCCCGCGGATCCCACCCGGCCTGGGAAGGAGCTGGTGCGAGAGCAGAGTGCAAACCCGCTTCCTTCCACCTCCCAAGAGCCCCGTGCTGGGGCCGCGCGGCGGGCGCGGTGGGAGCCTCGGACCGACACAGGTCAGCTGCAGCTTTGGGTGAAGACGCTCAGCATCCCGATGGCCGGCGGCCCTCCGAGGTCAGTCCGGGAACTGAACGAAGCCAGCAGGGGCGCCGCGGTGTCTGCCCAGGACGAGCTTGCGGCTGGGACCTTCTGGAAGGAGGAAGAGCCGGCAGGAGCCGTGTAGAAAAGGACGCAGCGGAGCGCGGGGCTGCCACGGGGCAGACACGGGGTCTGCACAGTCAACAGACCGAGCACAGGAACGAGCGGCAAGAAAAGGGGCACCTGGGGGCGCCGTCCATCCAGCGTCCGGCTCTCGGTTTCGGCTCCGGTTGTGATGTGGCGCTCGCGAGGCCGCGGCGGGCTCCGCGCTCAGCACAGCCCGCGGAAGCTTTGCCCCCACGCCCGGCCCTCCTGCTCGTGCTCACCCTCTCTAGAATAAACACATGAATCTTTTTTTAAAAGTCCAAAAATAAAGCAAAATGGGAGCATGGGAGTTTAGCGTGTGACCATCAGCCCGAGTCAGTGGAGGACGGGGGGCAACTCGACAAACGATGTTAGAAATCGGGTAGTCGTCTGGAGAAAAACAAAGTGCTCCTCCTTGTTTCCCAGGGTCAAACCCCAAATGCAGCAGAGGGGCCCGAAGCGCCAGGGGCTTGGAGCAGTGTCCTAGCTGACCGCGCGGCAAGAGAAAGCCGGCGCGCACCCACGCAGAATCGGAAAGAAACCCTTCCTGGAGGCAAAAAAAGAAAAAACCCTCCTCAATGTTATAAGAAAAATGACAGACTGGAAAATATATTTGCAACGGTTTCTGTTGCAGACAAGCATCTAATATAATACGTACAGGTTCCTACAAACCGGGAAAAACACACCTCAGAGAAAAACGCGCGGGACACGTGAGCAGGCAGCGCACCCGGCCGGCAGCATGGAGGGCTCTGCCGTCGTCACCGGGGCGCGTAAGAGCTCCCGGGGTCACCTGGGGCCCATCCGACGACGGAGAATGACGGAGGACCAAGAGCTGGGGAACACGTGTGACCCGGAGCCTGGCAGCCCCCAGGGACTGACCCTTCGGGGGACCCCTCAGAGACAAAGGCCCCCAGGCCCCCTCCCTAGAGGGCGTTTCCAAGTGCGGACGGTCGGAGAGCACGGTCTGTCCAGCAGCAGAAGGCCTGTGTGGGGCCACCCTGCGATAAGGAGGAGCCGAGCCCCTGGTCCGTGTGGGGGACGGTCACCGTCCGGCCAGCGAGGCCCCTTCAGGGCGCACACCCAGAAGAACCCAGGGAAAGGCTCAAAGGGAGACTCGCACACCCACGCTCGCGGTAGCGCCGTTGACAGAACCAAATGGTGGAAGCAGCCACGAGGCCCGTCCACACGACGGAACATGACTCAGCCTGGAAAAGTCAGGAATCCCGACACCGGCCACACTGCGGATGGACAAGGAGGACGTGGTCCCCAGCGAGGTCTGCCCGGCACAGAGGGACGGATCCCGACGGAGCGACTCCCAGGAGGCCCCGCAGGAGTCCACCACAGACACCCGGCAGGGGAGGGGACTGTGCTCAGTGGGGGTCAGTGGGGACGGAGGTGGAGCGGCCTGGTGGCGAGGGAGGGAGGGGACGGCGGCGCAGCAGCATGAGTATGCTCCGCGCCCCCGAGCCGCACGCTTAGAGGGGTGAAGGCGGCAGTCTTGGTGCTGTGTTCATCTTACTGCAGCTTTTAGACATTTCATAAAGCCCAAAGAGAACAAAACCTGAAATGCTTTAAAAGAGAGCAAAGCCTCTGTGGGCTGGTAGGGAACAACCCCAGCACGTGTGGGCAAATGACACACGTGTGCGGGCGTGTAACTGCCCACACTTCACAGACATGGGCTACCCGCCGGGAGGAGACGGGCTGGCCGGGCAGCGGGGAGCACCCCCACAGTATGCCCTGGGGACCCTGACTTTGGTGCCGTGCACATGTATTTCCTGTCCGAGGGCCGACGGATAAAATGGAATGACTCAGCCGGACGGAGAGGCCCGCGTGCTCCTTTAAGCCCTGATGCGACTGTGTGTCACAGGCACCGGCTCAGCACAACCCGCCTTTCCTAATCGGGGTCTGGCCCGGGGCCCCCAGGCCCTCCATCTCCTGCAGGCAGACGTGGGAACGAGGGGTGGCCGGAGTCCCCGGAGAGCCCACGTGCAGCAGCAGCTCGTGCGTCGCGGAGGCCCCCGCAGCCCGGCCTGAGCCCCACCCAGACGCGGGGGCCCAGCCCGCTCACCGGTGCCTGGAGGACAGCATTCTCAGGTGGTTTTCTGAGGTCAGGGTCACCACAACGCCCTCGATGTTCTTCGTGGCCTTCTCCAGCGCAAAGCCCTTCTCGCCTGAGGCCACGGCAAGAACATACCAGGGCCCCAGCAGCTGGTTGGGGAGGAGCACGTGAGGGGCTTGACCCTCCAGCCCTTGGAGGCTTCCTCTCTCTACCTGGGAACCCAGGGCCCCTGCCTCAGGTTAGCCCGTCCCCCCATAGCTGGTGCCAGTCTGGGCTGCCACTGGGAGGGTAGCCCCAAGGCTGCATGGCCCCACAGGAGGGGCCTGGGCCCCTAGAACAGACGGGCCTCCAGGCCTGTGCCATCCCAGCAGGGCGGCTGTTACCTGCTGGGGGTCCAGCCTCCCCAGCCACACTGTCTGGGTCCTGGGCACTAAGACCAAAGCCAGGAGAGCAGTCAGCAGGACAGCTGGCATCCTCCCTGAGATCCGCCCACCAGCACACATGCCTCGGGGCCGGGGGTGTGCCGTCCATCCAGCCACTGAAAACCCATTTATGTGTCTCTGAATGGGTCACTGTGGGCAGCCTGCTAACCACAGTACACCATCCGGCCGCTCTTCTTGCGAGGAGGGTAAATCACCCAAGGGTGGGGGGCATTATTATTCTGCGGTGGCCTCTGCGCCCTGCCCAGATGAGCTAGAGCATAGGGAGTGCGCCCCCGGGGAACGGGTGCCAAGCGCACACCAAGCATCTTTGTCAACATGCCCGTGCCAGTCCCTGCTCCCTTCCATTGGAAGCTTCCGGAACGAACACCCTAATCCCCGTCACACCACCTCCTCTCCTCCCTGGAGATTCAACACCCTCCCTCGTTCGGTCTGGGAAGGCCAGAGACCCTGGTCTTTAACCCTGGCTGGTAGTAGGCCAAGGCCAAGTCCAAGGGGAGGCACAACTAGTTTTTCCAGGAGATACAGACTGGATCTTTTCTTTCAATCATTAAAAATTTTTTTAAAAAATCTAAAACTTAAAAAAACAACAACAACAAAAACAACCCCTCCCGGCTCACCCATTATTCTTGCTCTGGTGGCCTGGCCTCCTGCCCCCACCCACAGTCAACACCCCATCCGGAACGTCCTGTTCCTTCTGCCCCTCCACTCTACCCGTCTGAACTTGTCCACTCTCTGGCCAGACTTGGCCCTGCTGCCTCCCACTCTGCGCTCCCTGACCCTGGCCAGACCCCTCAGGAGCTGCATGTGCCCCAAGGTCCCACGGGAGCTCTGTGTGGGCCTGGCTTCTCAGCCCCGATCATCTGAGCCCCTACCTGGGGGCAGAGGACAGAGGGCTTAGTAGGATCTCTCTGAGCCCCTGAAACCCAGGGGGAGGTGGCTAGGAAGACCCTTCACTGGGAGGTTGGAGGGAGTGGTGGAATGTGCAGACCGTATTTCCAGGCCCCTCTGCCAGTTAGCTTCCAGGGGTTCTATCAACACAGAAACGGAGAATTCGGAGGGCGGAGAACAGATAAAGCTTTTGTCTTGTTAGGCCTTTCTAAGGACGGGCCTCTCTGAAGCCGCCGCTCCAGCCCCCTCCTGGGAGGAGAGTTTGCCAGTGAGTGCAAGGGCAAACCAGCCCTTGCGTGAATTTGCAGCTAAACTTTCCACCACCCCAGGGCCTGGGGGTCTCAGACCTCGAACATGGATTAGGGTGTCCTGTGACCACCAGCTTCCCTGATGCCTGCCGGGGGGAGACGAAATGCAAGGACAAAAATGTCCCCCACGCTTCAAACCAGTCCTGTGCATCGTGTGTTTCCAAGTACAGTTTCCTGACACGACGTTTGAGGGGACTAAGATGGAAGAAGAGAAACGCTGCAAAGAAAGAGATAATAGAAGCAGACCCACAAATGCTCCCGGCCTTGAAATTACAAGGCCGGCTCTCCCAGTCCGCCTGGGCTGACATCACAAAAAAACACACGCTGGGAGGCTTGCGAACAGCAGATGCTTAGTTCTCAATTCTGGGGGCTAAATGCTCCAGTCGGGGTGCCAGCAGGGTCAAGGAGGGCCTCTGGTGGGTCACAGACCTCTCAGTGTCTTCATGGTGGAAGGAGTAGCAGCGTTCTGTGGGGTCTCTTTCATAAGGACACTGATTGCATTCATGAGGGCTCCACACTCATGACCTAGTCACCTTCCGGAGGCCCACTTCCCCGCGTCGCCATACTGGGGGCTTGGACGTCAGCATGGATGTTGGGGATAGACACACACATCAGGACCACACAGACTGTGAAAACAGCTATGATCACCTTGCTTAACAAGATGAGAGCCACATTTGAAATTATATTGTATTTTCGTAATTCTCATAATACAGCTGGGAACCATAAAAAGTGGTATAGGCAAATGACACCTGTGTAACCCAAAATAATCTTACAGATTGCGGATTTGGGGAGAAAATATATACAGAGGGCTCTTGTGAACCAAAATGAACAGGTTGTATTACAAAGGAGACATCTTAAATCCTGGGAAAAAATAGAGTTTTATAAATACGTGCTGTCAGGACAACCGGAAATCCAGGGGGAAGGAGATTAAAACGGAGCACAGTCACCTCGTGCAGGAGAGTCAGTGCCAAATGGATCAGAGACCCAAAGGCTAAGCGTGGAAATGCAACCATGTGAGTAATGAGAGAAGTCACCAGTGAGTTCCTCTATGATGTGGATGTAGGGAAAGGCTTTCTGGTTGTGTCAGAGTTCACTCCTGAAGGTGGGACCACTAGGAAGCCTATGTCTTCACAAGGAAGGGTTTTGTGGCAGGAGTCTGAGCTCATGTCAGCACTGTGGGAGCTCATTTTGCAGGCCCCGTAAGGCTCTTGCCTTCTAGGAATTCTGGGGAATGTCACGCAAGCCGGGCAGATCAGCCCCTACAAACCCATGAGCCACACTAACTGTGCATCAAAATCCAGATGTAATGAAAGGAAGTACTGGAAAATCACTTGACTCTATTTTTAAGCTTTTTTTAATACCAAAGCTCTAAACAAAGTCAAAAGAAGAATGACAAGGCCGGAGAAAATATTTCCAACATGTGTCACATGTGAGGGCTAATAGCCATACTCTAGAAGAAACTTTTAAAAAATTAAAGAAAAAAGGACTGGGGCACCTGGGTGGCTCAGTGGGTTAAAGCCTCTGCCTTCGGCTCAGGTCATGATCCCAGGGTCCTGAGATCGAGCCCCACGTCATGCTCTGTGCTCTGCGGGGAGCCTGCTTCCTCCTCTCGCTCTCTCTGCCGGCCTCTCTGCCTACTTGTGACCTCTCTCTCTGTCAAATAAATAAATAAAATCTTAAAAAAAAAAAAGAAAGAAAAAAGGGCTGAAAACCCATCAGAAAAATGGACAAATGACATAACCAGATAATTCACATGAAAAACTTAACATGACCCTAAACATACAAAGACAGGCTCATTATGGATCGCATTCCTGCCCCCCACCAATTTCTACGCTGGAGTCCTGAGCCCAGAAACTCCGCACAGGACAGGTGGGATGTGGTCACTTCAAAGGGGCAATTAAGTCAAAATGAGGCCATTCAGATTAAATACACCTGGGGTCCTTATCCGAAGAGACTGAGGTACACACACAGGGGTGACCGCGTGAGCACCGCGGAGCAGATGGCCGCCTACACGCCGAGGAGAGAGGCCTTGGGAGGTCCCCGCGCGAGCCTGGCCTCAGACTCCAGCCGCCAGATCTGGGAGAGCCTGTACCGCTGGCGTTCAAGGGTCTGGTGCTTTGCCGCGGCAGCCCCGGTGAACGGACGCAGGGCGCGTTCGCATTCAGTAAGAGAAATGCAAACTGAGACAACGCGGAGATGCCGCTCATCGCCTGTCGCATCGCCAAAGCCCGCAGAGCCGCGCGCACGGCTCGGCCCACGGCACGCGGCGCAACCATCGTAGAGCGGAGTGTGGCAACATCGTAAGACCTTAACTGCGTGCCCGTGTATCTTTTGTTCTAGAAACCCCCCCGGGAACCCACCGTGAGGAAGCGCCTGGGACGGCAGGCGCGGTAGGACACACGGGGCTTGGCCGGGAAAGCGCGGTTTGCGACGCGGCTGTGACAGTCGGCTCGGGGCCACGCCCGGGAGACCGGCTGAACGACAGATGCGCCCACAACAGGCCTACGGGGCTGTGAAACATAACCCACAGGTCTCTATCGACCGGCGTGGAGGGACAGGACATCCCGGTGTATCGTAAAGTGGAAAACGCGGGTGCCGGAGGGCATGTGATGTACGCAGCCTTCCAGGGAGACAGAAAGGGCGATGAGAAACCATGTCTGTCTGCGTATTTCTGCAAGACACGGAAGGACAGATGGGCGTGCACACCCCCGGGGCTGGGCTGGGGAGGCCGTTACACCCCTCCCATTGCATGCCGTCTTTTTTTTTTTTACAGATTTATTTATTTATTTTAGAAGGAGAGAGCGGGCGAGCAGGGGGAGGGGCAGAGGCGCGGGGAGAGAGACTCTCCAGCAGGCTCCCCGCTGGGCGTGGAGGAGCCCGATGGATTCAGGGCTCGATCCCACCACCCTGAGAGTGTGACCTGAGCTGAAATCAGGAGTCGGACACTTAACCACCTGCGCCAGCTCCGAGCCGACCTTCTTTGTGTAGTTGTGCCTTTGGAATCACATTAATCTACCGCCCTCGAGAGTAAGTGAGTGGGATACAACCGTATGGCAAGTGATGACGTGACCCTGGGAAGGAGGGCCGCAGAATCAGCCCTGAGCAACTTTGGACAGAGTGTTGTTTCTAGAAATTCTCGGCTGAACAGTAAAGGAGCGATAAACAAATCCGAGTCGCGGCCTTCCTGAGGCTGGCTCTCCGCCGGGTGCCTCCTTCCCGTGTGCTCGGGGTGTGTCAGAGGACAATGGTTTTCCCAGGGTTGGGAAGGCAGGTGGAAAGGGGGGCTCGCTCCGCTGAGAAGGCTCAACCCCACCCGCCCAGACGGGCGGGCAGACGCAGAGCTGAGCGTTCCCGGCGCCCAGACCTTGGTTTCTCGGCACCGTTCTCTGCAAAAGGGAACCAGGCTCCTTGGAGAGGTGATTCGAAGTTTGAGTCACAGGAAGCATAAGAGGAACTCGGGGTGATTCTGGTCCCAGACAGGAAACACATGTTTGAGGAACCAGGGGAACGTGTCAGAAAGACTCCGGGGCCATCCTAAACGGGTGACCCTGGACAAGTCCGCACGGGTTTGCTCGCCAAGACCGAACACTGCAGTAGGCGCTGAGCCGTGCAGGGACGAGGCCGGCCTGAGCCCGTGCTGACGGACAGGACACACGTGGGGAGAAGCGAAGGCTCGAGGCCCCCGGACGGCGCTGACCTGCCCCGATGAGCCCTGCTCTCCCAGCCCTCCTGAGCTCCCCGCGGGCCTGCATGGGCATCACCTGCGAGGTCTCTCGGCCTGGGGCCACACTAGCCCCTCCTTCTTGTTTTTTTTTTTTTTTTTTTAAGATTTTATTTATTTATTTGACAGACAGAGATCACAAGTAGGCAGAGGCAGGAGAGAGAGACAGGAAGGGAAGCAGGCTCCCTGCTGAGCAGAGAGCCCGATGTGGGGCTCGATCCCAGGACCCTGGGACCATGACCTGAGCTGAAGGCAGAGGCTTTAACCCACTGAGCCACCCAGACGCCCCTAGCCCCTCCTTCTTGTACTGCCCGTAGGTAGCGACAAACTCTCTGCACTTCGATCTGTGTGAATAGCTTCATTTCCTACAATTCCCAGTCGTCCGGAGGTGACCTCCACGCCTGGCCTTGTCCCCGGCTCCGTTCGCGTCTGCAAACCGGGGAAGCCGCAGACGGCCTCGTCCCTGGGCGTGGTGCCCCCCATCCTGCGTCGGCCTCCCCGAGCCGCGGGGCTGTGTTTCTTTGAGCATATTTTGGCCTCCATTTCTTCAAATATTTTTCCGCCCATTTTCTCTGCTCTCTCTTGCGGGGTGAGTCTACACACCCAGCCTTGCCCGCCCACCCCCAGGCCAGTCTCTCTCCACTCTGCTTCTCGGTGCCAACAGTCTGTGTTGGTTTGTCTGGGTTCCTGGTCCTCCGCAGTCTGCTGAGCCTGTCCAGGAAAGCCGCGGCCCAGTGACCACGAGCATTGCCTGCATTCCGGCCTGGCTCTCCGCACGGTTGCCGGTTCGCCACCCAAGGGCCCTGTCTGTTCCCATGTTCGCGCTCCCCGAGCAAACACTGTCGAATTCTGCCTTCTCCTAACTCGCCAGCTCCTGGAGCCTGACTTCCTTTTGTCCTTGAACTTAGAAAGCCAGTGTGTTCGAACCCTGCCCGTGGGCCGTCCGGGGACCTCCTGCTAGTCTCCTATGCGGCCTCGTTTCCTCGAGTGTCCAGAGGCCTGTGTACTCACGGTGACTTCCTGAGGCTCTGGCTGCCCCTGTCGCCCTCTGAAAGCTGTTGGCTTTTGTTGGGGACGAAACTGCGTCCCCAGAAACGCCACTCTTGAAGCCGCAGTCGCCACGGCAGCTGTGTCTGGAGCTGGGGCCTCTCGGGCAATGACGGGCTGGAGGGAGGTCGTGCAGGTGGTCCGCATCTCCTGGGACTGGCGCCCGTCCAAGTGGTGGGGAGCCCGGTGCGTGGAGCGGAGGCCACATGTGGGCCCCAAGGGAGGCCCCCCAGCTCCGGGCCAGGAAGCCGGGTCTCACCAGAGACCAACCCCGTCAGCACCCTGACCTCGGGCATCCAGCTTCTAGACGTCTGAGAAGCAAACCCTGATGTCCGGGGGCCACACCCGGCCCACAGTGCTGTCACGCCCGCCCAAGCCGATGAGGTTGACTGTCACCTCTCAGGCAGCTCACTGTGTACTCATTGCAAGCTTGGGCCGGACAGATCCGTGGAAGGTCCAAATTGTCCCCAAGCACCCCTAAGCTGTCAGAATGCAGCTTTCAAACATCGCTCCTGTGGGTCTTCGGGGAATTAGGCTCAGGATTCCTGGCAAGTCCCAGGCAGGCCCCACCCTTGGGGCAGGCTTCACGCTTGGCTGCCAGAGTGTCACGGGCGTTTCTCCGTTCTGGGGCAGCCAGTGCCCACCAGTGCCCCAGCACTGCGGCACCTCAGGGACCGCTCACCCCTGAGGCAGCTGCTCCCCAGAAGCTTTGACTGTCCTGGGCTATGCTTAGACCGTGGGGCTGACGCCAGCCCCACACTTCCTTCCATGACCAGGCCACCTCGTCTGCCATCTGGTCTCAGACACAGCTAATGGAAGAAAATGGGGTGATCGGACAGTCAGTGCAGGTCATGGGGTGACACGGCATGACGGAAAAGGCTGGACCAACCATGCACGGCTGGGCGCAAGGAAGCCAGCAGGGGACAGAAGCACAGCCAGGACTGAAGGGCCTTGGCCACTGTGCCCACGGGGATTAACCTTAGGGCAGTGGGGAGCCGTGGAAGAATGTGGTGGAAATGCAGCCAGGAGACCTGACCTACAGTTCTGTTCGGGCCTGGGGCCGCTCAGGCTCTCAGGGAGCAGGACGGCAGCCTGGGAAGCACCGTGGGGCCCACACGCCCAGGAAGCCCGGCCCGCGGGCTCTGAGCAGGGCAGGGCTGGGCATGACCGCCGGCAGGAAGGAGGGAGACGGCCTGTCATCCCGCACCGAGCTGTGTGGTCCCCGGGCCCCACAGGGAAAGAAACAGGGAACAGACCAGAAGCCAGCCCGGCCCGTGGCCTCCCCCCAGCTCAGCCCTCCCGGGACAAAGACCCAGCCAGGGGTGGGATATGAACGGCTCCCGTTCCCAGAGGTGGTCACGGCGCCCACAGACCACCAGACAGCTGGGTTTGCTGTCACTTCCTGGGCAGCCCCGCCCATCCCCCCACAGCCCTGCTCCCCCAAGAAAGACGCTCGGGGCAGCGGGTTGGGTAGTGCGCTTTATTCAGAGCAAGGGCCAGCAGTCCCCTGGGGCCAGGACAGGCCTGGCCCAGGGCTCCTCTAGATCAGCTCCTGAGACACAGAAGGGCAGGGCCTCAGGGCACGGCCTGGCCTCCAAACGCCCCTCGGGGCAGTGGTTAGGGCTGGGGGGTGGGGGAGCCCGTGTCCTAGCTGCGTGACCGCGAGCCAAAGCCGCCCTGGGCCTCAGTTTCTCTACCTGCAAAGGCAGGGTCACCGTCCCCACCTCTCGGGGCTGTGCTGAGACAGAGGGGATTGGGGGGCCTGGCACCGGGTGGGACATGGGGAACCCAAGATGGTGCCCACAGGGCCTGTGTCCCCCCACCCACCCCCCGGGCGGGATGAGAGTGCCTGGCCTCCTCCCCTCCCTCTCCCAGCCCTGCCCGCGAGCCCCCAGCCTCGCGGGTGCCCCTCTGGCAGCCCGGCGTCCCCACCCTGGAGGCCCAGGATCCAGAGTGATTTGGGGCCCCTGTCGGGATGGGAAACCCAGCTTGGCGGGGGGCCCAGCGCAGCCCGGGGCGAGGCTCACCTCCTTCAGGAGCTCGGCGCATCTCCCTGCAGGACGGGGCGGCGTGAGGTGCGGCAGAACGGGCCCCTCGGACCCCCACCCGCCCTCAAGGTCCCCAGCCTAGCACCCACCCAGAAGGCCTGGGGCTCGCCGTGCCGGGCCACCAGGTGGAGCCCCATGTGTGCAGTCAAGTCCCGGAACCGCCGGAAGCCTGGTCCCCATTCGTCCTCCGGGCGCCGAGCTGCGGGGACACGGGGGCGCTGGGCTGGGCCGTCCCCAGGGGGCAGCAGCGGGCCCAGCCCCGACCCTGGCATGCGCTTACTGAAGCACTTGAGCACGTGGTAGTCCTTGCCTTGTCAGCGGGGGGACAGCCGCAAAATGGCAAACTGCTCGTGGTCCGCGTCTGTCATGTGGATCTCCCATGGCCTGGGAGCAAGAGGCCCAGGAGAGACCACAGGCATGCCGACGGTTACCTCGCAACCTGGCAGACCTCGGAGGCCGGGTGCAGGGTCTGACTCCATCCTCTCCACACCCAGGGCCCGGACCCTCCCATCATGCTGGGCAAGGCATCGGGGGGGACAAGTAGAACAGCCCTTGAAGGATGACCCACTTGGTGGTTAGAGAAGGGGAGCACCTGGGGCTTGAGGAGGAGTGCAGGGAACAGCATGGGGAACAGCACAGGAAAAATAGCAAGGCAAGTGTAGCTGGTATGCAGGGCCAGGGGTCTGTAACTGTAGCGACCGGACAAGGGTTCTTACCAGGAAAAACAAATGTCCCTGAAGCGTCTATTTCTGAGCCCACTATTTTTTCTGTCTCACAAGTTCCTGAGCTGAAAGACGGCAGGGTGCTCATCAGGAAAATACCAGCCTGCATTCTCTCTGCAGGGCACATCCCAGGCATGTGGGGGCGGAGGGGCCCGGTGGTGTGTCTGTACCCGGGAGAGCTCGGGCCAGGGCGAGGCTGGGGGAGGTGAAGAGCGGGGGCCCCAGAGAGCTCCAAGGCTGCTTTTGTGTCTTACAGCCTAATGGGGCCTTATCAAAACACTACGCTTCTTTTCGGGAGAATTGAATGTCTAGGTCTACATGTAACAGCTCCAGGATCCTGGGGGTTCTGGTGCTGGGGATGGGGGTCAAGGTCTGGGGTTTTGGACACAGTGGGGCTGACCCTGTCCAGACCCCACAGCCGCAGCTGATGGAGCTGCCCCCGCCAGGCCCTCGGTCGCACCTGCCTATTCCTACTGGAGCCCCCAGGGGCCCCAGGACCCCTCACCTGTTATACGCAACCTTCACAGTCAGCTCACGTCCACTCAAGATCAGGAACAAGGCTTCCAGCCTCTTTGGGGTCTTTAGTGCCAGGTTTTGGCTGGAGGCCACCCCAACTTCCCACCAGAATCCTGCGATCTGGAGAGAGAAGCCGGAGCCCTGTCCTCGGTGGCAGACCCTCCGGGGCCCCGGAGCAGGGCGCCGGTGGTCCCTGAAAGGTCAGCATGTCTTCATGGCAAAATAGCAGTCACCATCCTTCCGAAGAGTCCCTTCAGCCCATCAGACAGCAGGGCGCCTTCCGTGGGGCCAGGACGCCAGGGGCAGCAGTGGTTGGAGCCCAAGAGAGGGGAGGCGGCAGCCAGCAGCCCTTGGCACCCACGGGAGGGTACAACTTCTCTGGGAGCTGGGGTGGGGGGCTCCTGCCTTCAGAAATGCACCCCAGCCCAGAACTTCCGTCTGAACCCAGAAACTGATTGTTTTGTGAGAGGGAAGTATACACGTCCCCAACGCCTGTCCTCTCTGAGCCCTTCTGAAGCGCTGCCGGCTCGGCTGCCCACACAGACCAGTGAGGAAGGAACTCGGCAAAGCCCCTGCGAGCTCCCCGCGCTGGGAAAGCGTCCTCTGGTCGTACACGGTGCGGCCCCGTGAGACCTGGTACAGCAGGGCCGCTCCCAGGCACCTGGCCTGTTCCCACCGGAGCTCCCAGGGGACGGACCCCACCGATCCAGGAGCAGGAAGGGTCCACGCTGAGCCCCAGGTGGACCAGCCGGCTGCCCACGGAGAAGCTCAGGGAGGGCTCTGGCCCTGTCGGTCCCGGGTGTTTGCTCACAGCCCCTCTCAAGGACAGGGGTGACCAGCCAGGCTAGGCTCAGACCCTCAGCCACCTGCTCTGTCCGGGCTGACCTGGGGAGGGGTGGTCCTGGGGCCCCTGATGAGGCTGCTCTGGCGTCGGCTGGGGGGCAGGGGGGCTGGACACTCAGGCCCCTCCCTGCCCCAACCTCCCCACGTAAGACAGAAAGGCCACCTTCTGCAGGTCCAGGTCCTGGGAGGCTGTGTGCACCTGCACCATGACAATGCCCAGGACGACAGTGAGGAGCCCAGGCTCCATCGCAGCTCGCGGTGCCTCTGCTCCCCGGAACCTGGGTTTTTAGTGGGGGAGCGTTGCGCAAGAGCCTGAGGTGGTCATCAGCACAGGTGGCCAAGACCCCTCCGGGAAGTGGCCCCCGGGACACCCACAGCCACCGGGGTGGGGTCAGCCCACACGAATGCCAGCTTCCTGGCCTGGGACGAATGTGGGCATGGCAGGGGGGCCACCTGAGCAGAGGGGGACGAGGCCCCCACCATGGGACAGCTGGGACCACAGCTCCAAGCCCGTAGGGGCCGACAGACGGGTGCCGCGCCCAGACCCACGGGCTCGGAGCATCTTCCTCGCCTGGCATGTGGCGGCTTCCGAGCTCTTCCTGATCAGCCTTGGGGCAAGAGAGGCTCCGAGGGCCTGGTACAGCTCCCTGAGCTGAGGGGGAGTGAAGGAGGGGTCTCGTCTCCCTGTGGAGGTCCCTGTGGGGAGGGGAAGCTTGGGAGCAGCGTGGGAGAGGCACAGAGGTCCCTGGGCGGCGGAGGTGGACGGCCACGTCTCAGGGATCTCGGCACACGCTGGGAAGCTGCCTTCCTGGGGCCCGTGTCCTCGTCCACCCTGACAGGACACAGTCCCATCCCCAGGCCAGGCCCTGTGCCTGTCCTCGCCTGGATCAGTCAGGCCCACACACAGCTGGGCACGACCCACCGCCCAGAAGGCTGGCCTGAGAGCGGCCCCGTCCTGCTGGCCCCCGACCTGAGGAGCAGAGCCAGGACATGAGCCAGGGCAGTGGGAGGCCAGAGCCGGCTCTTCCCCAGCTGGGCCCCCCCCCCAACAGTATCGCTGGGTCCCCCCACCAACAGTACGGCTGCCCCACCCCCCAACAACAGCACGGCTGGGCCCCCCTCAACAGTAGATTTTGTCCCAGATTAAGAGCCTGGCAAGAGGAGCCCATCTCAGGGACAGGGGCCCTGGCCCAACCAGCTGTGTGGCTCAGGGCAAGCTGTGTGCCTTGGTTTCCCAGCTGTAATGGCCACAAAGCAGGGGGACGGGTGCCACGTGGCCAGGAGGGGTCCGAGGTGCCCAGGCAACTCCTGCCAGGACCAGCATCCGTGGTTCTAGACCAGTAAGAGGCAAGCTTCCCAGCTTCAGGGCCAGAAAAGTACACCCTGGAAGGGCTCCAGGCTTGGACCAGTACGGGACAGCTCCCACCCCACAGGGAGACAGGCCGCCTCGGATCCTGGACGCTGCACTGTCCTTCCACCAAGGCTGTCAGCTTAGGGTCTGCCAGGTGTGGGAACGTCCAGGCAGGACAGGGAAGCCCAGAGCTGGCCAGCCCGCCGGAGACAGAGGGACCCACCACACCACGGACCAGCAAGGGCCTCCCAAGGAGGCTGATCTGGGACTAGCTAATCTGAGCCCCAAACTGGCCCAGCCCGGGCTGATGAGAAAGGGTCCCCCCACCCCCAGTGCTTGGCCAGGCAACAGAGGGAGGACAGGAAGCGTGGGGGACGCTGTCTCTGGGTGACCAGGAGCAGGATGAAGACAGATGCCCTTCATCTGATCCGGCCAACTGCCTCCGGCTCCAGACCTGGAAAGGCTGCAGGGCACCTATGAGCAATGAGGCAGGACCCCCACTACCTTCCTGTCGCCTCACCTGGCCCTTTAAAGTGTGTGCACTGGACGGAACCTGGACGTGCTGAGCTCCTTTCAGGAGAACGGCGGTGGCCAGGGGCCCCTAGGGAGGGCTCTCTCCCCCAACATCTCACGGAGTGTCCTCATGCAGCCCAGGCCCTGGAGCCTGACCACTGGGCCTCAGCCTCAGCCTGGCCCCTCGCTGGGCAAGTCACCAACTTCTCTATGCCTCAGTTTCCTGAGTAAGGAATGCAGCGAGCTCACTGTGTGTGTCCAGGGGTCCACTGTGGAGCATATGACATAGCCAAGGTCAAGGTCAGCCCAGTAGCAGGAGGGAACACCCCTGGTGAGTCCTGCTTCGAGGCCCCCATGCTGCTGTGCCCCCAGCTCCTGCGGCCAGGGGGCTGCATGTGCCCAGTGGAGCCCCACAGCGAGGTGGTCTTCACGGGCACCCTGGCTCCCTGAAGGTGCCGTGAGCCCATGAGGACAGGACAGTGGCATCAGACACCGCCTACGGGGACAGCCCCTCGTGGGTGCCAGGCTGGGCTGGAGTTCCTGTCCCCTCGAGCCAGGAGGTGCCCAGTGGTCAGTGCCTCCCGCGTGCCCAATTCCCTGCCTCAGTTTCCCTAGGAGTCCTGGATTAAGACAGGGCTCACCGTGCCCTCCCCAAGGGCCCCTGCAAAGAGGGGAGGAGCCTCTAGACTGCAGAATATGTTTATTGAGGGGAAGAGGGAGGCCCAGGGTTGGGGAGGAGGGGGTGACCCAGGAGGACGGTGGGTCCGGACAACTCGGGACGACAAGGTCTGCTGCTCCAGCTGGCCCTGCACAGACAGGAAAGGCACGGTCACTCCAGGCACCCATTCAACAAACACTCCTCGGAGCCTCTCGCTGCCCCCATCCACGGCACACGTCGCCTGCAAGGCCAGAGCTAATTCTACCATTGAAACTTCCACAACTGTGGAAGCCCACCATGGTGGCCCCAGAGGCCAGCAGCATACCGTAGCTTCCCGCAGTCCCAGGGACCCCAACACATTTTCCAGCACCTTGCTTGCTCGCTGGCCGGCATGGCAAGAAAGCCCCACAAGGGCCACTGAACCACAACAAATCCCCCAGATTCAGCCCCTGAGAGGGGGTCCACATGGGACGCTTTACCCTGGAAGTTGGGGTGAGGCCCACAGCAGGACGCTGGGGCTCCTACTCTCCGAAGGTAGAACCTCCCAGAGGCTGATCTGGCATATCCCTCCCCCTCTCCTCCCACCGAAGACAAGCACCTGTGGGGTGCGGTGGGACCAGGGGTCGGCAGCATCTTCTAGACACACGAGAAGTTAAAACAGCCCAATGCCCCCTGGGTGAATAGCCAGCCGGGCCAGGGAGAGCAGGATGCCAGGGTCAATGGCGGGGGGAAGCTGGGGGGGATGGCGGGGGGGATGCCGGGTGGGGTGCTGAGGGAGATGGCAGGGGGAGATGCCGAGGGAGATGTTGGGGGATGGCAGGGGGATGCAGGGGGAGAAGATGGGGGAGTGCCGGGAGGGGTGGGGGGGGGGGTGCTGGGAGGGATGCCAGGATGGATGCCAGGGGGTGGATGCCGGGAGGGATGGTGGGACGCCCCCTTCAGAATGAGGAAGGAGTCCCACCACACAAACACAGGCCTGCCAGGAAGGACCACAGGGCTGCCTCTGACACTTCTGTTATTTATGGTCTCATGTGGGTTCCCAAACTATTCATTGTGAAGTTGGTAAGGGGCTGGACAGTTTCTTAGCATCCACTTGGGGAGAGGGTGTCCCCAAGAGTCCACCTACTTCCATGTCCCAATAACCCTATAACGGCAGTGCTATGCAAGGTGGCGGTTCCCGTCTCATGGGGCCCTCTGGGGGAGACCAGGTTCCTAGACAATTCCAAGGCCTAGTACCCCAGGAAGGTAGCCAGAGGCTGCGGGACACACAGCACACTGGATTGATAGCATCTCCCGGACTCACGTCCACCTGGGGCCTCAGAGCAGGACCTTCCCTGGAGACAGGGTCTTTGCAGACGTGATCAGTTAAGGACGGAGACGAGGCTGTCGTGGACTTAGGGCGGGCCCGGCCCCCGTGACCGATGTCCTCGTCAGAAGAGGGACATTTAAACACAGACACACAGAGGGAGGACAGCCGTGTGACCGTCGAGGCAGAGACAGCAGGGATGGGGCTACAAGCCAAGGGAGGCCGAGGCCTGCCAGCACCAGCAGGAGCTGGGAGAGGCCAAGATTCGGCCCTGAGCCTCCAGAAGGAACCAGCCGGGCCCACTCCTTGACTTTGGGCTCTGGCCTCCAGAACGGTGGCGAGAACAAACTCGTGTCATATGTGGTAATTTGTTAAGGCAGCCCTAGGAAATCAGAGGAGGCTTCCTGGAAGAGGTAGCATTTAAGCTGAGGCCTGAATCGTGGAAGTGGCCGGCCGGGCAGCTGGGTGGGGGCTGGGGGAGTGGGATCCACACGTGCAGAGCAGCAGACAGAGCGGCGGCCCAGGGCTGCCCACGCAGGCCCTGGAGAACAGGATGGAGAGGCCGCCCTGCCTCTATCCTACCTGCAAAGGGCCGAGGTGGGCCTCCACAGGTGTCAGGGAGCTTCCTTGTCCCCAGAGGAGCACGTATCTGCGGGGAGGAAGACAAGGAGGCTGAGCCGGCCGGACTGCCCACAGCTTCCTTCCCCGGGCCCCCAAACAGCCCAACCCCCGAAAGCCTCTCCCTCCCAGCTGCCCATAACCTCCTCCTCGTGTGTGCGGGCGGAAGGAGGGGCTGCGGGCCCGCCTTACGAGGGACACCACCTGGTCTGGCTCACTGCCAGGGGTCGGTAAGGGGCCTGCGCACCTGACTTGGGCACCATGACCATCATGTCATCCTCGAGCCCCACCGTGGGGTAGAAGTCCCGGAAGGTCTTCACAGCTTGGGGACTTGCTTCCTGGGTCCGGCCTGAGGCAGAGCAGGGCCCCAGTGAGCCCTGTGTCCCACAGAGGTTGGGGGGTGGGTGGAGGTCTCCTGGGGCTCACAGAGAGGTAAGGGGAAAGGGGCAGAGGTCTCTGGGGCTCACAGAGGTGAGAGGGGAAGGGGGGAGGTCTCTGGGGCTCACAGAGGTGAGGGGAGGGGAGGAGGTCTCCTGGGCTCACAGAGGTGAGGGGAGGGGGTGGAGGTCTCTGGGGCTCACAGAGGTGAGGGGAGGGGAGGGGGTGGAGGTCTCCTGGCCTCAGCGCTCTTCCTTGAGAGTTGACAGCAGGTCCATCACCTAAGACTGAGCAGGTTGTGCACTGCTCAAAAGTGCCTGCCTGGCTGGGGAATCAGGGGACTGAAGCCGCCCTTGTCCTTTCCTAATCCACACAGGGTGTCTGGGAGACTGACAAGGGCCTGGGTCTTCCCCAGGGCCATGTCCCCCTGGGCCCCACACCCCTCAGGCCCCCAAAAACCTGTCTCTAGCCCTCACCCCAACCTCTGCACCTCGGGGAGCCCCTGGCCCACTTTGCCAAGGCCCTCAGAAATTACAGCAAAACAGAACCTCAGCCCTCACCTCGGCTCTCAGGCAGCGGGGCCAGAGGGTGGGAGGGCCCCCAGAGGCCCCTTGTGCCGACTCCTCCCCTCTCCGAAGAGCTGCGGGGTCCCGCCACCACCCCCTTCTTGGCTCCGGGTTGGGGTGATGGGGGAGGGGAGGCAGGGCCTGAGGGGCCGGGCCGAGGGGAGACAGGGCGGGGGGGCAGCCCCAGGTGGGGAGGAGAGGGCCAGGTGGGCAGCAGCCAGCGGGGCCAAGGAGGGAGGGCGGGTGGCAGGGTCCTCACTGTAGAGCTGCACCATGGTGCTGAGGGCTCCCTCCAGTTCCTTGTAGATGTAGACCACGGCGAACGAGCTGTAGTCTGTGTCCGCAATGCGCACGTCCAGGTAGCCCAGGGCTGCAGAGGGAGGGGCCAGCCAGCCGTGGGGGAGGGCCCGGGGCCCAAGCACGGACCCCCACCCATGCCGGCCTCTGCTTTGGGGCTCAAGGAAAGGGCAGAAGGTGGAGGGAAGGAGGGGTGGGGCAGGAGATGGTGAGGGGCTGGGGGATGGCCCCAGGTAGAAGGACCGTCCATGTCACCCCATGGAGACGCTTTGTCAGGCGTCCCTGAGGGCAGGTGGGGCAGGACCTACCTGGAACTCTGAAGTGGCCCTCGGAGCCCGCCCTCAGGTACTCGGTGTCCAGCAGGTGACAGCCGTCAGCCCTGGGGGGGCACAGCCCGGGGCTCACTCTCAGCTGCTGGCCCGCCCCGCCCCCACCGCCAGCCCCACCACACTCACCGAGGGAACTGCATGTGGACACTGAGGTTGCCACCCGCCATGGCCTCGATGGTCCTAGTGGACATCAGCAGGTGGTCCTTCTTGCCCAGGAAGACCTTGCAGTCGGAGACCACGGAGACCACGTACCAGAGGCCTGAGAACTGCAAAGCAGCTCAGTGGCTGGCTTTGCCCTGGGACCAGGGCCACAAAGCACACGGCCACACAGGCTCGTCTGGAACCACGCAGCTGGGGGTCTCCGTGCCCATCTCCCCGTCCTGCTACCTACCTGGACAGGTCGCATGACCTTTGTTCCCCCAACTGTGAAATGGGTCAGTAATTACCCCCACACTGTTGTTCCAGGATTAAATGGAGAGAAGGTCCAAGGGTTGGCCGGTTCAAGGCCCAGAGCAGGTACACCGTAGGCGCCACCCTGTTATCCCATGGTGCCATCACTTCCCATGGGGCTCGGCCCCCATGCCCACCCGTGCCACAGCACAGGGGCCTTTGTTACCTTCTTGGCATCAAAATCGGGCTGCAGCAGAACCTCGGCCCCAGCCACGGACACCCAGAGGAGCGGCAGGACCTGGCCCAGCAGGATGCACTTCGAGGCCATGCCTGCCGCCCAGCTCCCAGCACAGGAATCCCAGCCCCAGGAGGCCAGGCTTTATAGCCCAGCCCACCAGTGGGCTTAGCCGAGGGGCCGTGGGGCAGCAGAAGCACTTGGCTCTGGAAATTCAGCCCCATTGTCCATTGTCCTGCACAATCACCCAAGGTCCCCCGCCAGCCCCAGGGGTCATTTCCTGGAGGGCTCCAGAGAGGCGGACTCTCACCTCTCACCTCTCCCGATCCACACCAGCCAGCCAGTCGCTGAGGACCAAGCAGAGACCTCATCCTGGCCTCCGTCCACCTCTAGACTGGCTGGGGCCCGGGCACATGGGGGTGCTCTAGCTCACAGGCCTACTCAGGGTCTGGGTCCCCAAAGTCCTCACTTGTTCATACCCCGCCCCCACACCGCACACAAGAGTGGAGTCACCATGGGTCAGCCCAGCTATGACGGAGGGGACATCAGAGGCCTGGGTGACCCCTCACTCTAGGCCCCACTGCCACGCACCGGGTCTCCAGCGGGCCGGTCTAGAGGGCGGAGCTGAGCCCCGCTTAGGGTGGATTATGGCGTCACAAGTGTCTTATCAAAGGTTGCATAAGCACGCGGGCACGAGTGTCGCCAGGGCGGCACCGAGGGCTGGTGGGGGCTCACTGGCCAGGCCTCCCACGTGACCTCTCCTGTGCAGGCAGACAGCGTCCTCCACAGGAGGACCACCTGCTGGCCTTGGGGCACACGACCCAGATACCTCTGATCGGGGGCGGGCGGCCGAAGCAAGGCCAGCGCTGCCAAGGGCTCCGGCGTGGAGGGGCCTACAGGGCCCGAGAGAGAGCCTCACCCCCAGCAGGGAGGCAGGCGAGGAGCGGGGGCTTCTGAGGGCCGCCCGCTCTGGGTTTCAGGGGATCCCAGCTCGCCAGGTCCCATATTTACAGAACATGCATCTGATAAAGGACTTAAATCCTGAATCTATGAAGAACTCTACAGATGCAATGATAAGAAAAACAAGCAATTCAACTTAAAAAAAAAAAAAAAGAACAGGCAAAGATTTGAAAAGCCACTTCACCAAAGAAGACGTCCAGGTGGAAAACAAACATGGGAAAACGCGTCCGTGAGTCAAGGGACGGGCAAGGCGAGGCCGCTCTGAGACACGCCACAGCTCTAGGGCTGCCGGTCGCCATCCCCAAGTCCGGCCCGCTGGCCCCGTGGCATTTCCAGCACCGGCCCGGAGCTGGCCGCTCCCTGGGCAGCTTGTGGCTTCTGCCTCCTCCCTGCAGCCCTCTTCAAACCCCAGTCTACACCCCACCCCACCCCGTCTCTTTCCTCCAGTCTGTGAGCTTAATCTGCATTTTCTTCTGTGTTTATGCATTGTCTCTGCACTGCCACTCTAAATTCCGGGACAGCAGGCACTACCAGTGGCCTGACGGCTTCGGACTCCTCAGCTCCGGGTGCAGAAGGTGCTCGGTTCATAGCTGTGGATAAATGAGGGAGGAAAGTCGCTTCGGCCTGCAGGTCCACTAGAGCCTGGGGCCTCTCTGCCATGCCACCACGTCTGCAGCCCGTGGCAGGGGTTTGCGTGCTGGCACCGCCTGCCTTGTCCACAGCCGCAGGGTAAACTCCACCTGGAGCCTCGTCTGGCTTCCCTGCCTCACCGCTTCCCAGTGTCACGCTGTGAAGACCAAGGGGCACAGGTGTGGGGGGCTGCCACCTTGCCCATCAGCTCCCCTGGCCGGCCCAGGGGTCTGAGCCTCCAGGAGGAGGGCTAGGATGCAGGGGCTGGTTGGCTCGACTCAACACTTCTTCCCCTGGAGGTTCTCGTTCTGTTCCTGTTCACCAGACCGCTGAGGCTGCCCCTGTACCCACTCTCTTGGTTCTCCAGCATCCTGCTAATCCAGGAGCCCCAGTGTCCTTCCAGTAAACTCTCACTGGTTATAGTTGGTCAGGGCTGCGGACCATCTCTCCGCCAGGCCCAGCCCAGTCAGGTTCCTGCCCCCCGGTGCTTCCTAACCCTGGGCCCCGTCCTCGGGGAGGAGAAAGAATCTCAGGTGCTCCGAGCCTCCACCTGCTGACCATGGAGGCAGCCCAAGCTGCATGGACAATGTCAAGGGCCCCCTGGACCCCTGCACAGTTGGGCTCCACCCCAGGGGGCCCCAGCAGGAGGTGGGAAGGGAATCAAGGTTACTTTGTGCTAGCCAGATCCCCCTACAGTCCCCAGGGGTCTCACCTACACAGTTACCCCTCTACATGCTGGAACAGGTCCCCCACCCACCCAACCTGGGGTGATCCACTCTGCTGCTCTGAGCTCTAGGTTCCTGCCGTGGCCCTCGGGGTCTCCCATGTCCCACTCACATCTGGGTAGTTGCTTTGCAAACACACTGTCCACTTTCCCCTAATTTGCACGTGCCCTCTGGGTTCCTCCAGGGAACGGGCCAGGGCTGGGCACCCCTGCAGTGACTTCATGAAGGGCTCCTGCCCCTCAGGCAGCATCAGCACCCTGATCACCCGCTGCAGGCCACTGCACCCCAGCCTGGCTTCAGTGTGTAGGCCAGTCGGGTGTGGGCTCCTGGGGTGGCATGTCCTGCGCCTGAGGGCAGGCCCCAGAGCTCTCAGTCACGTGGGCACTTACAGGGCAGGGGTGGTGGCCTCAGCCGCCAAGGACCACACTTCCTGCCTCCAGTCAGCCTCTGGATGAGCGGCAGCTGCCCTGGTACAGGCTTCAGGCTTCCTCCGGTCTGCTGGGCCTCCAAGTTTCGTTGGAGCAGCCACAAGAATGGGACTGAGAAGAGGAAGGAGAGAGGAGGGAGAGTGGGACAGGGGAGGAGACAGGAGGAGTGGAGGGAGGGGAAGGACAAGGAAGGGGGAAGGAAGAGGGGAAGGGGAGAGAGATGAAGAGTGAGGGAGGGGAGCAGGGGCAGGAGGGGAAAGGGGGGGTGGGGAGACCCCTGTCCGGGTAAGAGGGGCCGGCTCAGATGCATCAGCTTGCGCACACGCACCCCTCCAGGTGTGGGCAGGGGGGAGGCAGGTGGTGGGAAGGGCAGAAGCAGCTCATCCTGGCAAACGGAGTGTGGACAGCACAGGATGGCCTCCTTGTGCTGCCAGGGGAGGCGGAAGGGTATCAGCCTGTAGCCCACTCTCCCCTGTTGTGTGCAGACCTGAATCTAGGGCTCTGGGGCTCAGGACAAGGCGACCATCCCCCAAGCTTGCCCTGGCTCTCCTGGCCTTCTGGGCAGCCAGACCACGCGGCGTCCACGGCGGGGAGAACCGTCAGCCCCAGGCCCCACCGGGGAAAGATGTGCACTGTCTCCCCTACAAGAAACTGACCTCCGGCCCTCACCACCCGGAGGGCTTGCTTCTCTCCAGCAGGCCTGGGTTCAGAGCAACCCCTCCCACTCCTTCTCCATAAAGTACTTCCTCGCGGTCATTGGTTGGCCTCATCCGTGGTTTTGTTGTGGCTCCCATGTCCCAAATTGCAAGTCTCTGCTGCTCCCCAGTAAACTCCTAGTTGCTGGTAAAATAACTTGTTTTTCAGGTCAGTGCTACCATCTAGTGCAGAGCCAGAGCCGGGGGGCAGGCGGGCGGCGGTGGGCGGGGGTGTCTGGCCCACCCAGAATGCCCAGCCTTGGCCGCTGGACAGAGGCTGCCCCCCAGTCAGGGGGCCTCATCCTCAGGCCCGGAGGTAGCTGGCCTCTCCCCTGTGGCTGGGGCATACAGGGGAGCTGGACCCTCCCATAGGCCACGCGACCCCCAAGCCATGTCCATTCCCAAGCCCACGCGCCACCTAGGACTTCAATGTTCTGACCGGCGACCTAAACTGACGCCCACTCTCCCCCAGGAGACCTGGCCAGGCCCCAGTCTCATTCCCCCTCTACTTCAAAGACCACCTGAGTCCACACCCCAGACTCTCTGCCATCACTCAGACCCTCGGCCTTCCCCGCCTTCTCTCAGGCCCCCCAGCCCCACCCCTCCTGCGAGCTCGTCCCAGCCCCTTCGCCTGTCCCGCTCAGGCTCCGCCCCGTTCGCCCCCGCCCCTCCGCCCCCGCCCGCGCGTCCTGCAAGGCTCCGCCCCCTCTTCGCTCCACCTCCCCCAGCGCGCGGCCCGCGTAGGCTCCGCCCCTGTTCGCACCCGCCCCTCCGCCTGTCTCACGCGGGTCCCGCCCCCGCCCCCATGCACGTCCCTCACAGGCTCCGCCCCTGCTCGCCCCGCCCCCCCGCACGTCGTGCGCAGGCTCCGCCCGTCCGCTACGGGTGACCTGCCTGCCATGGTGAACCTGGGCCTGTCCCGGGTGGACGACGCCGTGGCCGCCAAGCACCCGGTGAGAACGCCGGCCTGGCACGCGGGCCCCGGACCTCAGAAGCTGACTTGAGCGGGGCGGGTGGGGGCTCGGTGGGGGGCTACCCTCCTCAGGGAAGAGAGACAAGGGGGGAGGACGCTCCCGTTGTGGGGATCGGGGCAGCCTGGGTGGACATGGAGGCAGGTGTGGGCAAGCCCCCAGGCCCTCACGGCGAGTGGTCCCGCTCCTCGCGGCCCGAGTGTGCCCGACGGCGGGACGGAGGGCCTGTGAAAGACGGGGGGACTGAGCCCGCACCCCCTCCGCCACCGCAGGGGCTGGGGGAGTACGCCGCGTGCCAGTCGAAGGCCTTCGTGAAGGGCATTTTCAGCTTTGTCGCAGGTAGGCTGGGTCCAGACGTCCTGGGGTCCGGACAGACCTCACCTTCCCGTCTCACCCGAGTGCCCAGCAGGTGCCGTCCGGTCCCCAGTCCTCGGAGGCTGGGAGCCTGACCGCTGCTGTGGGCGCCCAGGCGGTGGACAGGCTGGCCGATGGGGACCTTGGCTCTGGCAGGCACCGGCGCCGCCTTCGGCCTGCAGATGTTCATCCGGAGGAAGTTCCCGTACCCCTTCCAGTGGCACGTACTCGTGGCCGTGGGTGGGTACCCCAGGGGCTGTGCCTCCCGCTCTGACACGCACCCGAGTCGCCAGAGGTGATGCTGGCTTTCCGGCGGGGGGGGGTCCCCACTGGGGTGGGGAGGCCGTGGTCCCGCGCATCCCCACCTCCTGGGAGGGGGTCCCAGTTCTCGGTGCGAGTCCTGCCAAGCCCACCAGACCCTCTGCCCGGAAGAAGCCTGGGCCCAGGTCCCCTTTCCCTGAGAAGTGCAGAGGCCCAGGCCCACAGCCCAACTGGCCTGTGGCCCCTGCTCCCCAGTTACAGGCTCGGTGGCCAGCTACTGGGTGACCCGAGTGGAGTCGCACAGATGCAGCAACCTCTGGCTCTTCCTGGAGACGGGGCAGCTCCCCGAAGACAGGGGCGCAGGTGAGAGGCCAGAGGGTAGTGGAAAGCAGGACCTGAGGCTCTGGGGCCAGAGGTTTTGGCAGGCAAACCCGCGGCCCAAGGTATAGACTGGACAGGGCCTCTCCCCTCTGGCCTGTCCATCCTGGAGGGGCAGGAGTGGGTGGCACGCAACAGCCAGACCTTCCTGAGCCCCTTGGGCAGGAGGGGAGTGCAGAGTCAGGAGTGTGGACACCCCAAGAAGAGGTCAGCACCCCAAGCTGCTGACGTCAGGCCTGTGTCCATCTGGTGAGCGGCTTAGGCTGTGGTTCCAGCTGTCTCCCTTTGCCTCCTACAGATCGGCACAGCTAGGAGAGCTCCAGCTGGGGCGCAGAAGACTTGGGGCCGAAGACTTCTAGAACATAGCCCTCAGGGCCTCGTCACCTCAGGCTTGCCCTGCCCCCTTACACAGGCCCTCCTCACACCCTAAGGTGACCCAGCGGTGTCCCCTGCGGACATTCATGGGAGGTCTGCCAACCCTGTGCAAACCTTTGCTACTGCCCAGGTCACACCAGAGGGGCTGTCCCTGCAGTGGTTGGCCTCCCAGAGGGCAGTGAGAAACATGGTGGACGCTGAGAGCTGGAGAGCATCAGAGAGGCCCTGGGCACTTGGTGGAAGGGACTTCTGCAGGCCCTGGTGCTCTGACACTCCCTGTCCGGCCCTGGCGTCCCCCACAGTCCGAGGGGACAGCTGCTGCGGGGGCTTGCTGCACAAATAAATGCTTTGCCTTTTCCCAGCTGAGTTCTAAAACCATCGGGAAGGGGCGCCTGGGTGGCTCAGTGGGTTAAGCCTCTGCCTTCAGCTCAGGTCATGATCCCAGGGTCCTGGGATTGAGCCCCGCATCCGGTTCTCTGCTCGGCAGGGAGCCTGCTTCCCTTCTCTCTCTCTGCCTGCCTCTGGGCTTACTTGTGATCTCTGTCTGTCAAATAAATAAATAAAATCTTTAAAAAAATAAAAAAAATGCAACCATTGGGAAGCACGTCAAAGCAGTAAGAAAATAGGAGACAGATGTCCCCTCGGGGCCATACACTGACACCGGAGGGCAGTTCCCAGCACAGCCCCAGGACCCAACGGTTCCGCAGGCCTTCCCACGCGGGGTCTGCTTGCACACATCTAGCCATGAAGGAGCAAAGCAGGGGTGTGCGGCCGGGTAGCGCCTGGCCCCCGGGACTCAAGGCACAGGAAGTGGCCATGCCTATCCACCTACCGTTCCAAACGCACCTGCCAGATGAAGTCACTTCACTCCGGGCAGGGGAAGTAAAGGGTGGAGGGCGGCCAGAGCTAGCTTACTGGAGTTCCGTCCGCAGGGAGGGAAAGCTCTGAGTGGGCACGACTACACGCCGCCCCACACACCCAACGGAGGGAGAGGCAGCGACGACATAAAAGCTGGGCAAATCCATCGTCCTGGACAGCTGCCCTCCTGGTCACACCGAAGGCCCACGACCTGGAGCCATGCCGCTCCAGCCCCAGCCCAACTCCTGCACCTCCCGGCCTAGCCGGTCATTGAGAAGAACGCTGAGTGCCTACTGTGCACCAGGGAATCGGTGCGTGGGAAGGCAAAGTCCAAGATAACCATGGTGTGAGCGAGCGAGGGTCGGGGTTTTCTTTCATGTAATGGTCCAGGTGGGTGATCCAGGGCTGACAGGTACTCAAGGCCTCCCTCCAGTCTGCCCCCTGCTGTCCCTGCTGTCCCCCCTGCTGTGGCCTCTCTTCCAGGTGCACCTCATGGTCTCGGGCAGCTGTGCCAGCTCCAGCCATCGTGCCTTCATCCCAGTCACTAGGGAAGAGGACAGTTCACTCACCACTTGGGCTTACCCTCCATCAGCCAAAATTAAGTCATGGGGTACACGCCCAGGAGGACCACCTCGTTCTGGGCAGCCACGTACCCCACTAAAGTTCAGGGGTTTGAGGAACAAGGGAGAACCAATACTGAGGGACAGCAAGCAGGCTTTGCCCGCCGCCCAGGGAGAACAGGGGGCAGGGGGATGCCTATGACTGGTCCTTCCAAACCCCTGAGGCCTCAGAGGGATGGCAGAAGGTGAGCCTGTGGTTTTAAATGGGATGGGACTCACTCTCTTAAAAAGTGGCAATGACCAGGAAGTGACCCCTGTGTGGGGTCTTAGCCTGAGGGCCATGGTTATGAACTGCGTGTCCCGAAATTTACACATCACAGCCCTAACACCCAGGACCTTGGAATATGACTGCATTTGGAGACAAGGCCTTTAAAGAAATGATTGCATTAAAATGGGGGGGGGGAAGCCCTGATCCCATCTGGCCTGTGTCCTTCTGAGGGGAGGACACAGACACGAGCAGAGGGACGAACTTGTGGGGGCGCAGCGAGAAGATGGCCGTCTCCTAGCACAGGAGGAACCAGCCCTGCCAGCACTCTGATCTCAGACTTTCAGCCTCCAGGATATGAGACAATAAATTTCCACGGTGGCAGCCACACGGGCTGTGGCACTCTGTTAGGGCAGCTCCAGCAAATTCATGCAGCGTGGCCAGAAACAGTAACCTAGCTGGTATGCACCCCTGGGATCCCAGGCTGTCAGGGGTTCAGGGCATACAACTCCAAGAGCAGCGTGGGCTGGGGTGACCCCTCCCAGAGTAAATGACACCTAGAGCTAGACCCAGGAATTCCCCCAAGGAGGCAGAGGCATAGCAGGACAGGCTCCAGGCAGCAGGCAAAAGGCAGGGAGAGGTGGGATCTCACGAGCCAGGTCGTCCAGGGTGTGGAGTCTGAGCCTGGGGTGTGGTGAGGGAACGGAGATCCCATAAGGCAGAGGTGGGAAGTTTTAGGAGACTCAGTGGAGGACAGCATGGAGGTGTGGAGGGTACGGGGGGCTGGTGTGGGGTACAGTGTCAAACCACCACAGATCACGTCGTGCGGAAGGCGCCTCCTCCAATACCCCCGAGCTGAGAGCAGCCATAAGACACACATCCAGGGGACAACCCCCCAGGCTCGCTCGGGGCAGTGGGTGGGGGCAGGGCGGGCCAGGATCGCCAGGGTTCCCTGAACTGGACATCGAGAACCTTGGCCCCCATCACAATGGGCGGAGATTCCGGGGACAACCTGAACTGCGTGCAGTTCTGCCGAGCAGGCCCAGCACAGGGAGGGTGGGAGGTGCAGAGGGGCCCGAGAGGACTCCGAGGGCCACCATGAAGACGCGCAGCGAGGCAGAGACGGACGAGCAGATCCAGGAGCTGAAGACAATCACTCGGCTCCAGGGTGAGCCGCCCCCAGGGGACCACCCTGCCTGGCCTGCCTGGCCCCTCCCTGGGCTCAGAGGCTCTCAGATTTAACACAGGCCAGTCCAGGGCAAACAAGGGCTAGTGGCCACCCCCCCCCCAGCAAACAGACCTACGAGAAGGGACCAAAGGGGCTGCCACGCAGGGGGGCTTCAAAGAGATGTGCGAGCACCGCGAGCCCCAAATGTGGAGGAGACAGGAAAGGACCCACCTGTTTCCCTGGCCCGCGGGTCTGGAAGGGATCCCAGGATGTGCCCCGCACAGCCATCCCCATAAACACCGTTGAGCCAGGAAGCCGATGACCCCGAGCGGTGGGAGGAAGGACTGTGCCGTGGGATCAGCGTTCTCCTGCCTGCCCTGGTGTGGAGCCCCCTCAGCTCGGGGATCCAGACCCGCCCACATCCTGGCCCCCTGGCCTCTGCCCCTCCGCCCCCACCCCCTACCCCAGAGCAATGCCGGGCACTGCAAATCCAAGCGGTAAAGGAGAAGACGGCCAAGAACAAAAGCACGCTGGCCCTCCTGCGTAGCAGCATCCGTCGCGGGACCCAAGACTGGGCTTTGGCCAAAAAGGTGAGCAGTCCCATCCCCTCCCTGCAGACCCCTGGCTGGGGCTGGGGGGCTGGGGACATGCACTGCTGCAACAGTCCCACACTCAAGTGGAGGGCAGGCACCTTCTCTTCTCCTCCCTCCCCTGCCCTTCTGGAGCCAGGGGGCATCCTGGGGAGGGGCTTCCCAAGACCTGTTCCCCTAGCTCCAGTCACTCCCAAAGGTCTGGCAGGCAGGGTGGGCCTGACTGGGGTCCTTTTGGGGGGCTACCCCCTACAGCACGGGCCCCTCTGTCTCTCTGGCCTTGGAGGGGAGACCTGGGTCCTCTTCTCCAGATTCCCATCACATCTCAGCTGGAATGGTCTGGATGGGGCCTTGCTGTTGGGCTAGCACAGGGTAGAAGAGGCCAGGGGAGAATGCCTGGAAGGATGGGGGTCTGGGGGTACACACAGACCCCAGCTCAGCCACTGCCGCTCTGCAGTATGACCAGCAGACCATTTCCAAGGCTTGCAGGAAGGACGTGTCCATGAGGCTGGCGCACGGCCGCGCCTCCATGGAGGTAAGGTGGCAGGGGGACCCCTCGGCCTCGCCCAGCCAGTGCGCACCTCCCACTGCCACCACTAAAGGGCGCTGCGGAGCCCGTCCCGATCCTGGGGTCCCGCCCCTCCAGCCCCGCTGCGCGCCGGCTCCCCGTGCGCACCCACGAGCGGGCCGTGCCCCCCCCGACCCAGGTGACGCGGGAGAAGCTGCGAAAGTACGTGTTCGACCGCGTGAACGCACACAACGCGCTGATCCACCTGGTGCGGCGGCGGGGTCAGAAGCTGGAGAGCCTGCAGCTGGAGCTGGCCAGCCTGAGGAGCCAGCCGGCCGCCACCAAGGAGGAGCTGCACCTGCTGCAGGTGGCGGGGGCGGGGCCTCGGGGGCGGGGCTAGACGAGAGACACCGCCCTCCCTGGAAGAAAGCGCAGCCTCCAGGTGGGCAACCGGGTGGTGTGTCCCTAAGACCAGTGTGCCCTCGGGCCACCCCAGGTCATCCGCCAGCTGGAGAACAACGTTGAAAAGACCATGGTCAAGATCACCACAAGTCAGAACATCCACCTGCTGTACGTGAGCCTGCTGGACTACCTCAAGAAAGTGAGCCCCTCACCCCAGCCCCCAGCCCAGGGAAGCCATCTGGCCGCGGGCGCCGGGGGTCTCAGGACCCAGACTAGGTGCAGGGCTGGCATCTCAGTGGGGACAGGAGCCTCCGGGCGGGACCACACCCCCTGCTGCCCCCCCCCCACCGGCGGAGGGGAAGGGCTGCAACTCCCTTCAGGCCAGTGTGCCCCAAGGACAGACCCCTGCTTTGGGACCCCGCTGAGCAGGGGCACAGTGTACCTGTCTGGAAACTTGTTATTTGCTACTTCAAAAGGCATATCATGGGATGTATCAGAATTGTGTGGGTTTTCTCGCGTGTATTTGATGGCTCAGCGTTGTGTTTTGCCCCCATTCTTTGTCATTTGCCTGGCCTCTGAGGGCAAAAGTGGGTCCTGAGCCCTCAGAAAGTTCCCTGTTATAGAGGACAAGCCACCTCGGAGCAGGCCGGTAATCTCGAGCTTGCTGCTCACTTCTTCCACCCCCGCCCCCAGGAGAAGAGGCCTGGAGGAAGTCCCCAGGGTCCATGAGTCCCACTGGGAGGCAGGGCCTCTCTCCATGGGGAGGGGGAGGGCCAGGAGACAGGGGGGCTGGACGGGGGTGCCATGGTGCTGCGAGGAGCGGGGTAGCAGGAGGGGCAGGGACAGTGAGGGAGTTCTCCCAACTCCCTCATCCTGAGGCTGGTGCACGGGCAGCCAGGTGGGTGGCTGGCGGAAGTGTGGTGGGGGCGGAGGGTGGTGTGGGCACTGCAGCTCTGCTGGCTGGAGTCACAACCCTCCGGGTCCCGCCGGTGGCCCACAGAGCCAGGCAC